AATCTCATCCCAAAGTCTCCCCCTTTTTCTTTTATTTTTATTTTATTTCATTTTATTAAAAGCAGCCAGTCCATCCTTAAAACACATCTTCTCCCCTTATAATCTGCATATTATTATTATTATTATTATTATTATTATTATTATTATTATTATTATTATTATTAAGTAAGTAAATTATTCAGATTTGCTCATGTTCCTCTGTGTCAAATGTTGTCAAAGCACAACAAATGTTCTCACTACTCACTGCAGGCTTGATGAAGCGATCTTGTCAAAAAGGCTTTGTTGGCAATTTCATGCAATCCATGTGAGATTTCCCGCTTTAAATAAAATGTTTTAGATTTGATTTCCTGGGAAGTGTCTGTTTGATTTGGGCTGTGTTTTTTGACAGCAGTACGGTAGCGGTAATCTGTCAAAGGTGTGCCATCTGTTTTCTCAGACATGTTAACATTTTTTCGCAGGCGTATACATCACTATTAATTATTTTTCATTAGTTTTGTGTTATACAAAAAGCATGCTTCAAACTAAAACTTATAGCACAATAGGTTTGCACAATTAGACAAACACATTTATAAGCTAACTGGCTGGAGTTACTCACAGATATTGTAGAGTATTCACACAGGACGTCTTGAGGTGTCCTGTGGTGTCTGGCACCCTAGATTGTTGGCAGCAAAACCTTTTTGATTAGGGCAGGTGAAACGGATCAACGTAACATCTTTAGGAATCTCAGGACTCAAGGTTGCCCAAAAGAAGTAGCGTTGTCACATGGCAAGATGTTTCGTGCTATACACCTGTCTGTCTGAGAGTTTTTTCTTCATCTACCTTTTTTTATTTCCTTTTTTTTTTTTCTTGAGGGGAATGGAGGCATTCCACTTGGCATTTTTGCTGTCTCAGTGGGTTGTCTTCTTGAGAATAAAAGCCTGTACAGCTATACATAATTTAAATGGCTCATTGAAGCTATCATTTGGGGCTGGGCTCCATTCTGCACATCCTTTTTTCACTGATTTCCTTCTTTTACAGAGCAAAGACGGCATTCGGGGACGTCCTCTGTATCCTCAGTGTTGAATTTTAAAACCTCATTATATATCAGTAAAGATGTGGGTTGACCACCATTAGACTAGCTACCAGGTTTTTCCAAGGTTTTCTAGTCCTAGTAAGCATTATAGGCAGAGATCACCCTCACGAACTTCTGATGCACAAAACACATACACCTCTGTGAATATATCTCCAACTGGATCAATAGTTGCCAGTAGAAAAATGGTATCTGTCACCTAGCATTGATAAGTAAATGGGCATTGTGTTTAATATATTGGGGCAAATAACTCTTAACTAGTGCAATTCATTGCTATTCTATCTGAGAGATGTCCTGTTTGGTTCATCTCATGGACGATCGTGGCTCAAGAGTTGAGAGTTCGCCTTGTAATCGGAAGGTTGCCGGTTCGAGTCCCGGCTTGGACAGTCTCAGTCGTTGTGTCCAAGACACTTCACCCGTTGCCTACTGGTGGTGGTCAGAGGGCCCGGTGGCGCCAGTGTCCGGCAGCCTTGCCTCTGTCAGTGCGCCCCAGGGCAACTGTGGCTACAATGTAGCTGCCATCACCAGTGTGTGAATGTGTGGATGACTGGATATGTAAAGTGCTATACAAATACAGGCAAGATTGCAGGTTTATACAAAACATTTCAGAGTCTTGGAGGATACTGCATGACCTCTTGCCATTTAGTATTAGTCCTGAAGGCCATAAAGGACTCGTGAACAAATGTGATCATGTGACCTAGCTCACAGTAAGTGTGAGTCTGAAGAAGCTAGAGCTGATTATTGTAGTACTGGTCTGTTCTGGCAATCTGTCTGAAGATATCCACTTCACTTCAGGGTCACGAGATGCAAAGACTATTCGTTAGGCTCGATCAAATCAAAAATTACTGGCAGGCAAAGCAGCGCCTTCAATTAAGGCACTGGTGTAAAGTTGTGTCAAATAAATTTTTTTTTAAATTGTTAAAGACTCAATTTGAGTTAACATAGTGACGTTTAAACTCAGTTTGTTGTCATAGCTGTACAGTATTTCTGTCCTTGCTAAGACTAGACTTGAGGTTATTACATATTGTACGGTTCAGACACACTTTTAACGGGTTATCAACTGTTTCATAATGATTATTTAATGTCACAGCCTGTATAAAGTGAATAATTGTTGTAAGTCATGATTGAAAATCCTTGCTTGGTAGATTGTGCCAAATTCCTTCGCTGTAAGGCTATCTAACTAATTTCTGGGTAATACTGCTAATGCTTGGTGATGCGTGTGTCGTACAAATCCCGTGCAAGTAGCTTGTAATTAATTTCCATTGATTGTGCAATAACTGAGAATTACACTTAATTATGCAATGACACAAATGCAATTCATTTGCTTCACTGAAATTGGATTTGGCAGGCTGTCACCAAATGTCATCTGAAAACATTTACATTGTGCGTTTATGCTTGTGTGGGTTTTCTGTTTACATCTGTGGTTACTATTTAAAGCTCATAATGTAATTGTAGCCCAGACTCTCTTGGAGAACATCAGGCACCTTCCTATTAGTAAAGTAATTTCACTGCATGCCATATTGCAATTGCTATGTAACTGTAGGAAAAACATCTGAAAATGTGTGCGTTTTGTGTAAGTCTTAGTGGAACGACACACATTTATGAAGGTCTGGATATCCTTTGGGTCCGTTTGCTTACTAAAAGTGTTTCTGGAACAATTAGTTATCAGTTATTGAGTGTAAAAGTTTAACAATACACACATTCATGTATACATTTGTGAGAATGTCCGTGAACATTTTGAAGCACAGATCCGGTAATTAATCGTAAAGCTGTTTGTTGTCTTGTTAATGAATTTTGTGCATAGGATCAGCATTATCATGTGCAATTAATTGGTCGATTTTAAGATTTCTGTTCATGTAACCTTTTATCATTTTTTTTTCTTTGTTATTGATGTAAAGCAACCAGAAATGTAAAAATGCAATTTTGAGCTTTTAAACAAGGTGATTAAAGGAGAATATGGCTCAAGAAATAATTATCATGCTGAGCTATAAGCGTATTTGAGTAACTGCCAGTTATGTTTAGTACTGTGCAAAGAGTGTTTGATTATAATTACAGTTTGATGTTATGCCAAAGTTTTTATATTGTGTGAAAAATGCCAAAGTGTGTGTGGACAGATACAAAGCATTGATAATGGACCCTCCCACTGTCTTTTCTTTAAATCCAGTTTGTGTCTCTCAAAATGGTCCTTTTAATAGCAAACCAGGCTTTTAGAGGCTATTATTTAAGCAGTTCAGCACTGCAATGTTTCCCTGCAGTGTTGTGATTAAAAGTGGAAAAAGCTCATGAAGCAGGTAATTGATGTTCAACTTGTTTGTGGAAAGTCTGTATCTGCTCTATTGCTTTTTGTCTCATCTTAGAAAATTGAATGTTACAGAAAAGGCTTATTTACATCCAACAGCAGCCTGAGGTCACTTCACGTGTGCTTTAACAGCTGTAGCATTCTTATCAATAAACCCCCCAAAAGTGCCTGTATTAACACTGGGAGTTTTTCTCATCTTATTGATTATTAAAAGAGATCACTCTCAATCCTACCTGTTATATAACTGGAAATGTTTCCTATTTGTGAGCCTCCTAATTATGCTGTGATCAATGATTTCCTGCCATTGATTGTTTAGGCTATTGCAGTGCTTCATTGTTAGCAGGGATTAGATTGTTTCTATTCAAATTTACCATCTGAATAAGAACTGTGGTTGGTTGGGGTAGAGGCAGCGTGTCTGAACGGATTTCAGCAAGCTCTGTTTGTTTGTGTCATCACAGTATAAAAAGTAGAGCTGTTATATAATATTTTCTTAATGTGATATTATGCCTGAACTAAAGCTACAATTCCAAAATGCAGTGAATCAGCGTCAGAGCGATTTGGACGTATTTATGTGTTGTTGTGCCTCGTCTGGTTACCTTTTCGACCGTATCTGTCCCCCACGGCGTGCTGTCAGCCAGCGTCAGCGTCACCTTTGCAGATCAGTAGCACAGGAATACCGCCCTCCCTCGCATTCTGAAGTGCTCGCATATTGGCTGTAAGAGAGCTGTATCTCCCCGCATCAGCGCCATGTTCTGCACCATCCCAAATATGTCACTCACTGCAGCTTTTTACTGCAGCCGCCAGCTACAGCCGAGTCCCGTCTGCAGCTGGGCTTCGTCTCAGGCCGATGAGCACGCAGTGATGTAAACGGCTCGAGTGCCGCTCCAAAAACTGGCCTGAAAGTCTTTATCACCCCCGAATCTACTGTCAGGACAAATTAACTCATGCGAACTGTGGATCATGCTTTGTAACTTGTACATCTTAAAACTGAAGCTATAGAAGGATGTTCAATACAGGGTTTTTATTAGTGATGAATATTGATATTATTGATATTCCTATGCATTTGTCATCAGTTTTAACCCTTTAAATCCTGAACCAAAAATTCTTTTATTTTTAATTGAAGCTTGTGAGATTAATTTTTCCTCGCTGATGCTGTCTGAAAAATGTGCCAGTATTGATGCACATGCTTGGCGGCACATCAGTGTTGGACCTGCTCCTTCCTTCTATAAACAATGCATGTTCTCATTCCTTCAGGGCTCATTGTTGCCAGTTGCTGTTGTATGTGATCTTTTCTTGTTTTGTGTTGCTTCTAATGTTGTTTCTAAAAATACCATTAAAAGCATCCAAAACCTCATTAAAAATGTATTTAAGCTTCACTGGTGAGGGAAAAGAAAAGTCAGACGCCATACAATAGACAAACTACTCACACACACACACACACACTACACACACACACACACACACACACACACACACACACACACACACACACACACACACAACCACAGTGTCAGTTTGTTATTCAGCATTGGTGAGAGGAAAAACAAGTTGCCAGCTCGATTGTGGACAGATATTTAGTGTTTTTACTTTTTACATACTCTTACATTTTCTCTCTCGCTCTCCCTCTGACAGTTAATAAGCACAAACCATGGATTGAGACAACGTACCATGGGATCGTAACAGAAAATGACGACAAAGTTCTTCTGGACCCTCCTCTGATTGCACTGGACAAAGATGCTCCTCTACGCTACGCAGGTGAGAGAGAGCGTTTAATGCTGCTGCCTCTGTTCCTTAACAAGAATTCTTCTTTTCGCACCAAATTACAGAAAACATCCACTAATTAGTTTGTACCTTTTGAGCTTTCAGACATTATCAAGTATTATGGATGCAGGAAAAACTGCAGGAATAGTTTATAGACTTGAAGAAGAAAAAGAGTCCAACTTGCTCAAATTTTATTCTTCTTGATAAATGAAATAGAATAAAGCTTGTTTAACACTTGATTCTTTAAAAAATTACATCTATGTCATGGTTAATGTGTGGAGGTCTCTTTCCCTGCAGGGTGTCTCATTATACATTGCTCGTAATTCTTTCTGTGATACAGGTTGTAATCTTAGATTAGCTATGCACACGGATACAAATCAAAGCAGTGAGTCTGCAGTGAAGAAAGAAGACAGTAACTGTCAGGTCTTAATTGTCAGCTCACTCTTGAATAAGTTCTGCTAACACATTTCTGCACATTAGTTTTTTATGACTTGCCTGCCATACTGATGTACAGTTGGTTACCATATCCTCCAGGCTGAACCTTTTGATATTCAGATCAAAAACTTTTTTCAAGTTTTTTTTCCCCCCCTCCCTCTCTCCCACTGTAGAGGCACAATTAGTGTGCTTTATGTACCAAGGCAGCATTAGCTCTGGGGTTTTTAATCACATCAGGCTTGACTTTGGCCATGATTCAAAGCACCACAGCACTGGAAATGGTTTCCCACAATCTCACATCACATGAGTTGTGTGATCTCTTGTCTGCGGCTCTCTTCACACTCGGTGCTCTCACCAGGCTTTATATGACTATTTTAATCACAGATTACTCCCCCTGATTTAGAATGTGAGGCTTTAGCATCCACGTGCACGCCACAGGACATGCCAAATGTAATCTTCTTGACAAAGTTATGTGAAATTTCTCCTGAGCTGATTGGCTTGGCAGCTTTTTAAGGTGGACAACTGCACCAAGAGAGCCATGATTAGAGTAATATGCCCAACTCTCTGCATGATGTTTGTCTCCCTTCACATAAAAATTGTTTTGAATGCAGAGCTTTGGGGAGGGGAGTCCTGTTTGTCTCAGCTCTTTTGATGAGCAGGCCTTTTGCGATTGGACTGTGTGTCCTTGTGAACTTGCTCTTTTGAGACAGAGCAAGCAGTCCGGCTTCACGTGGCAGCAGGGGTGACCTACTCTGTCATGCAGCCTCCTTTTTAGTCGGTTCTTCTGTGCCAGCAAGCAGGGTTCACTTTAAGCCAGCCTGCAGATCATTCAGAAGCCCAATCCCAGGTTCTTAAGTCAGTCTGAGGAACAGAAGCTTCACCACGAACGAGGAGTTGCTATATAAGTTGTCTGTAAGGCTGATTCGCTGTGGGACGGGCAGGGTAATTGGAACTGAAATGGCTGAGACTAAAGCCTTTGAACACAAGCTCAGTGCTCATGGATGACTGTGCTGTAACACAAGTGTGAAACACAAAGCAAGAATGGCCCACCCACCAGATCTGGCTATTTCATTCCCTGAGAAGTAATAGACAAGGCGAAAGGAGGAAAAATCTTGTTTCTGCGACACAGCTCCTGGAAAATGGGTTAAGATATTAACCTTTTGTGAGTGTGTGAATGTATTGAGAACATTACTCACTGTATTTAATTAGTACTAGGCAGGCCGAGGATAAATGTTTAACTATCCTTGTGATTGCTGACCTGATCCGAACTGAGAGGCCTGTGAGATAAATGAAAAGCTAAGGAAATCCTAAACTCCTGATGTGAGCTGGTCGTTAGAAGCGTGTTAAACTCAGCAGCCACAGTGCCGACTGCATGTCAGACTTTAGCAGCACCTCCATCCATCCACTATACCAGCTTGCACTGGCTAATGTGAAATCCATTTCTAATTGTTCAGTAGGTACAAACAAAGGCCCAGCTCACCTGTTAAAGAGATTGAAAACGTCAGCTAAGCAACAAAAGAAGTTGTCGTTTTGTTTTTCCTAAGCTACTTTATCTTCATGTCTTAAAGTTTAATATATAAAATATATTAAAAAATGAATGAAAATGGTAAATGTGACGTTTTGAGAAATGTGATTTCAATGTGACGGGACTGACTTTCCACACTTGTCTAAAACGGACTGTCTAAACTATCCTCTAATTATATATTCTTTTTCTTTTTTAACTTGTTTAGTACTTGTTTACTCTGGTGTAGCCCTTATTCCCCACTCGCAGTATGTTTTTTGTTCCTCTGAGGGAGGTATTGTAAGCCTTTAGCTAGCGTGTATTATCTTCCTGTCCTCTGTGTGTGTTATCTCTCAGCTTCTAACTCTTCTCTGAACTGATCTGGGTTTATCTTGTCTCCCTTCCTTGTAGAGAGTTTTGAGGTGACCCTCACTGAAGAAGGTGATCTTGGGCTCTTTCTTCTGCCTTGTGCTTACTTGTTACTATTAACCCACTAACGCTAAAACCAGCATCCACACTTTTACACAGAAACTCCTCGTGCTCATGCTCTGTAAACTCCCCATTTGGTTTTCTTGACCTTGCGTTTTATTTTCTCACCCTGAAGTTTTTGCCGTTCCAACAGCTGGATGAAAAGTGTGATGTGGGGGCTGACTGTCCTTAGAAATATCTGTGCATGAGACATCCATTGCAGTTTGCAGACCCTAACAGTTTTTCAGCTGTCAGCAGGAAACAGAAGCCGCTTTAAAATAACACAAAAACAACAAAAAAAACAGGAGTTCTGAGTCTCTTTGCCGTTTTGTCCAATTCGGTCCTTTTAATTCCCCGAAAAAAAAAAAAGAAAGTGGGGAAAAAAAGCAGAAGGCTAAAGCAATTTTCTACACAACTCCAATTTAAAAGTCTGTGTAGGATTATTTTATAACCTCTTTAACATGCGGCAATTGGAGCAGAAATTGAAACTCTAATTGGTATTTTAAGAAGCTGAACCTTCTGAAAGTGTGACCATCTTAAAGGCACCGAGCATGCTCGGTTGTGGCCGTTAATGACCTCGTGATAGCTGCGCAATTCCAGTGACTCCTGTGAACCTTTCTGACATTTTAAGTCTTCACGTGAGATTGCTGAGATTGTTAACTAATGCAAACTCTCTCTGCTGCAAAGTTTCTGTTATCGCATCTTTGCCTCAGTGGATCTCTTGATTTCTAATTCTCCACCACTAATCTCTACCATTAGCATGGCTGCAGTTGTCATTTGATGTGGATGTCAAGCAAGTTGATATTTCTAACCCCAGTTCTCATCCAGTACTTTTGTTTTTGTTTGAAAACTGTTTTTGTACTGGTTTAGTTCTCTATGATTTCATGGTTTTCTTTTCAGTTCATTTTGCAGTAGTTTTGGGTCAGAGGCAAAATTACACAGGAAGACTTTTCTCAAATTGTGCCAAAATATTAAGCGTTGTCTGGGCTTTTTTTCCCCTTTTCTTTTCTTTTGCAGACATTTAAGCCGGGATGGCTGAATCTCAATGGTCTCTATTGTTAAGGATTTCAATTTTTGTTCCTATAATTTGTGTTATATTGTTTCTCTCATGAGATAGGATGTAACGTTATTTTTTTTTTTTATTCTCAACAAATATACTGTGCTCTATATGCTTACTTTTAAACTTTGTTTCATGACTTACTTTTTTAATATCTTAAGTACTCCTGTGAAATGCCTGTCCACATTTTTTCAGTTTCTGCCTGCATGACTGGATGCAATGTTTTCAAGTGGCTTGGAAAATACACTCTCTGTACTGATACGTAATGTCACCCACCCCCAAACTACTCACCCACACGGGCTTCCTCCACAGACCCCACGCACCTCAATCTACAAGTCCCTGGCTCCCAAAACCTGTGGCTGACTTTGATTTGATTTGATTTTGTTTATTTTTGAGGCGTTTAATTAATTTGTTTTGTGGTTAATATAATTGCTTAATCGCTTCATTAGACGTTTAAATTTCACAGCGGTCACCAGTTATTCTGAGCAAGCTCTGTTTTGGCTCTTAACATGTTCAGGTGAGATTTGCGGCTTCAGGATCCACGGGCAGAATGTCCCTTTTGAGGCAGTGGTCCTGGACAAGTCCACTGGAGAGGGGGTTATCAGGGCAAAGGACAAGCTGGACTGTGAGCTGCAGAAGGAGCACACCTTCACCATCCAAGCCTACGACTGTGGAGAGGGTCCTGATGGTGCCAACATGAAGAAGTCTCATAAGTGAGTTAACCCCTGCACTAAAAGTGTTGCACAATTATCTTTGAGCACATTTTCTTTGAGATAAAATGTTTTTAACTATCTAAAAAAAATATGACAGAGCAGTGGGAAGCCTCAGATTTTGGCTCACAGTGATCACTTGTTCATACGCTACTATAAAGGAATACAAAAAGAAAAATCATTTTAGGTCTCCTAAGTAAAAAAATCCTGATTGTGGTTCAAATGCATCATCAAATCTGATGCATTTGCCCTGACGAATGGGTTATGAAAGCAAAGCAGAGCAAGCACACAAGTGTGCAAATATAAATATGTGGTTTTGGCGTAAAATCAAAAGCTGCGTTTTGTTAAGTCTTTATGCTGATTGTGGGAACTGTCAAGGGAATCCTTTCCCGAATGAGCCGTGTAATTATCCATGAACATTTGGTGACATGAATGCACATCTGGATTGTGAGGATTTCCAATCTTGAATGAATGGAATAAGGGTCATGATTAGATGGTTATTTGATTTGTCTGTCAACAGAAAATTAAGCTGCACCTTTTCAAAAAAACAATAAAGATCAGTAGTGATGAAGTAATGATTACAAATAGAGTTGACTCAACACAAGAAGATTATTCTTTCCATCTGCAGTAATCAAGCAAAAGCCAGGCCAGGGCTTAAAGTCAAGAATTTATTTTATTTTAACCACTCCAGGATTTGAGATCAGTCTTAGTTATCCATGAATGAGGATGATCATGTAAGGTCTCATTTTCATAATAAAATAACATAAATAAATAAACCATCGACTATCCAACTGATAAAGTATCCTAACTTGAATATCTCTCTATCAGGGCCACTGTCCACATCCAGGTGAACGACATCAACGAGTATTCACCAGTGTTCAAGGAGAAGTCCTACAAAGCCACCGTCATCGAGGGAAAGAAGTACGACAGCATCCTGAAGGTGGAGGCGGTGGATGCCGACTGCTCGTTCCAGTTTAGCCAAATCTGCAACTACGAGATTGTGACCCCTGATGTGCCCTTCACCATCGACAAGGATGGTACGGATGTTCACATAGCGCCTTTGTCTTTGTGTGCCCACTGGAAAAAAGCCGCAGCCCACGCCCAAGACTCATGAGTGCAATGACACGCTTCACAGTGCCTGTTGATTCGTTTAAATGATGATGCTTGCAGGGCCGTCATTCAAAATTCAGCACAAACTTGTCGGTTTGCAAGACGATGACGGCGTTCTTTGAACGTCACCGAGCTGGTCAGTGATTAGTGCCGGATTTTAAGAGGATTTCTTTTTATCTTTAACAAAAAATAAATAGAAAAAGTCAAGACCCAGTTTTCAAACTCTGACGATTATAATGCCTAACTAAAAAAAATAAATAAGGATGGGTGATAATATGAGGAGATCAGTGAGAACCGGTGATGTGACACTTTAATTTCACTTTAATTGTGAGACTCTGCATACACAAAAGCTTTGAAAATAACTCTCAGTACAGCGTCTCAATTCAAAATGTTATGAATCCTAAGAGCGGTCCATCAGTTTGTTTGGCTTGTCGATAAATCCCTTTTGTTTTGTTTTTTAAATAGTCTTTACTCTATAATTCTGTTTGAAACGCTTAATGTTTTAGTGCTTTGAGGATTTCTACACCTACCGATACCTCTGCCAATTTTAGCACAGCCACAGCTTTGAAGTTAAACAAAGAATGGTCCTTCTATTAAAATTACATTTCCCCCCCACCTGCTCTGTTCAGGCTTTATCAAGAACACAGAAAAACTGAGCTATGGCAAAGAGCGCATGTATAAACTGACCGTGACCGCCTACGACTGCGGAAAGAACCGAGCCTCTGAGGACGTGCTGGTGAAGATCAGCGTCAAGCCCACCTGCAAGCCCAGCTGGCAAGGTATGAAAGCTCTCCTCCTTTGTTGTAGCTCGTCAGCCATCACTGTTAAGTTGTGTCTTTTGTGTTGAATGTAAATGATCACTGACGCAGTCCAAACAGGCTGAGAAGGATAATTGAACTCCTTTAAACTATAAGGCCTCATTCAAGCTCAAAAGAAGAGGAATACTTCTTAATGAGTGATTAGTATTAAAAAGGCTTTTAATTAAATAACATCTTTTAATGCTTTTTACTCTCTCTGCTTCTTTTTCAGGCTTCAATAAGAGGATTGAATACGAGCCTGGCACTGGTAGTTTGGCCCTCTTCCCCAGCATGCACTTGGAGACCTGTGATGAGCCAATCACGTCCATCCGGGCCAGTATTGAACTGGAAACCAACCATATTGGAAAGGGCTGTGATCGTGACACCTACTCTGAGAAGTCTCTGCATAAGTTGTGTGGTAAGGAACTGGAAATGGTCCTTGTCAGTAGTTGTTTTATAACTCTGTGAGCCACATACAAGTAAGTATACCATCTTTCTTTATTAGGAGCCAGCTCCGGCACTGTGGAGCTCCTTCCTGCTCCCAGCAGCTCTGCTAACTGGACCGTAGGGCTGCCAACCGATAACGGCCACGACAGCGATCAGGTGTTTGAATTTAATGGCACCCAGGCCATCAAGGTTCCTAATGGTATGGTGAGCACCAGCCTGAAGGACCCCTTCACCATTTCTGTGTGGATGAGACACGGCCCTGGGGCCCACGAGAAGGAGACCATCCTCTGCAACTCTGACAAAACGGGTAGGAGTCACAGCTTATTGTGAATAAAATAAACATGCGTATTTAAAGGCTCCAACTATTATTCAACTGTTAAAAAGATAACTGACTCACTGTATAGATTAAATCTTCCTGTCAGTCCACTTTAATTGAAGATTTAGCTTCATAATAAGATACACCCTGGAAAGGTCGCCAGTCTGTCCAGGATGTACTCTGGACACATAGAGACACTCAATCATTCTCATTCACATTCACACCTATGGGCAATTTAGATTCAACAATTAACCTAACCCCGCTAACTGCATGACTGTGGGAGAAAGCCAGTGTACCCGGAGAAAACCCATGCAAACTCCACACAGTGGAATTGAGCCTTCTTGCTGTAAGACTACAGTGCCACCTTGATGTCCCTATTGCTGTAATTCCAGTAAAATCATACTAATAGCCACAAAAGTTTAATTATATATGCTAGACCATTATATATAAACCACCTAGCGAAAGGCAAAAATGCCTTGTTTTTAGCATATAAATGACATGCACTACCCAATTTTCACCTTTCCTAATGTAATAAAGTGCATCCATTCGCCGATGGCATGATAAGATTAAATAATACTGTAATGCTGGCATGAAATATTAATAAAAATCTTGGAACAGAAGGTTTGAAGAGTTCTGTAGGACAGAGCGTCTTGTTTCATACATAAAATAAGCATGGCACATGGACTCATTAATCTCAAAACTGTGCTGTTAAAATATCTGGCGGATACTGATTATTGGTGCACATATGGTGTCTGAAGAGATCCTCTGATTAAAAACAAAAAAAAAACCTACCATTGAAACTTCAGGCTATAATCAGTGTTTGTGCTCAGCTGGTGGTCTAACACATGGAAACGTGATTCCTTTTTAATTTCTTTCTCACATCCCGCTGAGCGCTTGCTGACCTTTCCATTTTGACAGTAGTTGTAAATTTTCTCCATGGTCACAAGCTCCTTGATCTTACGGACTGTAAAGTCTCTGCCGTGGCCAGTGACGGGGAGCCAGTTCATCAGCTTCGGCCCAGCTGCTTATATAAGGAGGATTACATCAGGGCTGTGGCCTGGACAGGAAGCTCCCATACCCATGAGATCATGGGTCATTTGTGACCTTTGTTCAGCAGAGTCTGGAACAGAAAGACGAATCTCATTTTGCTTTAGCTTTACAGAACCACGTAAAACTGAAATGTATTTTCATCATTTAAACCATATTTTAAATTTTTTATTTGCTTCATGTTAATGATAAATTGACTGTTTCTTATGTGGTGTTTTTCTACTCTGCATGGGCACTTTATCTAACGTAGACCATTTACAACTGCATTCATGCACTTGCATCTAACGCGCACACTACAATCAACATATTAGGAACAACCTACGGTTCAGTATCTTGCCCAAGGATACTTTGGCATGCAGAGCAGTGAGGGACTGAACCACCTAACTTCTGATTAGTAGATGACCTGGTCTGCCTCCTTAGCTACAACCACCTTTGTGTCAGTTTGATGGTGTACTAATAAGTGTTAATTGGTTACCAAAAAACAACAACCTTCCCATAAAGGTTGAATCTTTCAGAATCAGATACAAGGAGAGGATGACCATGGATGCATGGCTACATACATACATATGAGGGCACCAATAATGCTAAATGTTCACAGGTATTGCGTCAGTCTGTAAAATCCCACCCAGGCATTGTTTTCTGTTTTCTCCTGAGGTTTTGCTAATTCCAGTAAGGCGTTGCTAAACCACACTGTGCATATTACAGCCACATAGCGATTTTTTTTTAATAGAGAGAGGCTGCTAAAAGGGCCTGTATTCAGTCCACACCTTCTCAACACTTAGTGTTCTGACAGATTACGGATTTCGACACTGAGCTGGAGCACAAGAGTTCAGTTTTACCTGGAGAATCATCACGAAAACACATTTGTTATGGTTTCTTAAGAAGATTGTGATATTTTCCACAAATACATTGCTACACATTTCCATAGATAGTCAGATATTTAATTTATCCCACAAGGGAAATTGTTGAATATTTTAGAGTTACAGTTTCTCATCCTGATCTCTTCTGTCGTTTTCTTCTCTGCAGAGATGAACAGACACCACTACTCGCTCTACGTCCACAACTGCAGGCTGATCTTTCTCCTACGCCAGGAGCCATCTGAGGCAGAGAACTATAAACCCGCAGAGTTTCACTGGAAGCTCGACCAGGTCCGCTGCTTCCAAAACTCAACTTTGTGCCAGTGCACAGCATGAGGCGGCACATAAAGTTAAAAATAATAATAAAACTCAGGTTTCAGTGTACTGCAGAGTCTAGATTTCAGGTTTTCACTCCTCCTGCTGTCATCTTTCCAGGTGTGTGACAAAGAGTGGCATCACTATGTGCTTAATGTGGAGTTCCCCACTGTTTCTGTATTTGTGGATGGGACTACCTTTGAGCCCTTCCTGGTTACAGAGGACTACCCACTGCACGCCTCCAAGATAGAAACTCAGCTCACAATTGGTGCCTGCTGGCAAGGTAAACAGTGTAACTGATTTTTGGAGAGCTCTCTTTTTTGACATTTATATCATTTATATGCATTGTATTGAAACACAAGTTCTTCTTTTGTGTGTTTGATACTCTATTAGAAAGAGTTAAAACTGTGTTCATGCTAGATGACATAAACTACCTTGTATAAACTGTTACTTTATATTCAGCCAATGACGTATTAACTCTTTGTAATATTAATGACGTGACCTCGTATGTAGCATCTGAATCTCTCCTCCAGATCCTCAACCTTCCTCCCTGTCTCTTCCTGCTCTCTTGTTTCTGCCCTTTACAGAAAACTCAGGACATGACAATGACACTGAGACAGTCTCTGAGCCCAGTTCAGGTTGCTCACGTCTTTCCCTTACTACTCAGACATGTCCATGTGTCCACAATGTCCCACCATGCTAATTGCATCCTCATTCCATTAAGACTAGAATGATTCCTACCCATTCTAGATGCAAAAATAATTTGTTTTGTTGCAGTATTGATGTTCAGTGGCGCCTGACTCCCATGTATTTTATTTTCTCTTCTAACTGCAAAAGCTATGCAGTTGGGGTTTTTTCTCATTTTCCCCTTATTTGTTTATTTTTCCCCCAACATTTGATACACCAGCAGATCGCAAATAAATCTATAACGAGTCAAGAGTCCGATCCAGCTGCAGCCTTTTAGCCATGCTGGCTTTTCTTTCAGAGCTTGACCTTGAGGCTGGAAGCAGTAACTCCTCTGTATCACATAACAAACCTGCAGCAGAAGCGCGCACACACATCAGTGGATGAATACGCGACCTTGAGATGTAGTTTGTCACTGACTCCGCAGTGGTGCAGACTAATGCTCATTATGATGTAGCTGGAAGACAGGAGTGGCGTACCTCTCTCGAAATGTCAACTCCAAATTTCAGATCATGAGCATTTTGCGGCCCTCAAGATGGCTCTGTTATTTTGTGAAAATGAGGTGACTAAAGAGGATTAATTCATCATTATCTTACGCAATCCCTTCTTTGAGTTTTTTTTTTTTTTCTTTCCTCCTGTTGATGTCATTTCTTTTCCCACAGTAAGCCGTTCACCCTTTTAATGCAAGCGTTGCATGCTGCCGCTGGCGTGCATAAGCTCATCAATCATTTGCCTGTCTTGCTCTTTGGGCTTCGAGCCTTTTGAAGGGCACACATACTAACTTGCATGAACTCCATTCACGCCAGCTTTGTACAGTGCGACAGCATGCTTGAAGCTCCAGCTCAGAAAAGGTGAAGCCTGTGAAATCTACCCCCTAAATAACTTCTATGTGTTGTCTTGGAAACCAGGTGGAAATGCTCGAATGGCGCAGTTTTTCCGCGGTAACCTAGCGGGGCTGATTATCCGCACCGGCAAGCTGGAGAACAAGAAGGTGATCGACTGTTTGTACACGTGCAAAGAAGGACTGGACGTGCAGCTGCCTGAGGAGGTAGCTTCAGCCATCAAGGTGAGGAGGCAAAGAAAGCTTTGAGTTTGTGAAGTGAATCTTTTTTATATCATTTGACAGCTCGCTCAAGTAATGAACTGTGGTTCGTAACATCCAACCAAATTAAAAACAAACAAACAATTTTTAATCTTAAACCTGCAACTTTTGGAGAATATTTACCTCAAAAGTTGCATTTTTGCTGAATGAATTACTTTAAGTGGTTCTCCAGGACTGATGCTGGAAAGGATTGTTAATGTTTGTTAGCTCAGCATCAGTCACAGGTCATGTTATTCACAAATCCCTCACCTTGTTTTCTTCTCTCAGGTGGAATTCAACCCCAACCAGTCCTCTCTGACTGTGGAAGGTGACGACATCGATGCCTTTGACAAGGTCATGCAGCACATCTCCTACTTAAACTCCCGCCAGTTCCCAACCCCTGGAATCAGGCACCTGCGTATCTCAACCACAGTAAAGTAAGTAGAAGAAGAAGAAGCCAGAAGCACTTATTGTTTTCGCAGCCTGGCCTGTGTCTTGTCACTTCATCTGTTGGCCGGCAGCAGCAGCCCTGTGTTGTTTATAAAGCAGGTCCTTTCTGCCTCATAGACATTCAGAAAGCTTCTCTGCTGCTGCTTAAAATGTGAGGATGGTTTATTGAGGTAAAATGGAGGTCAAGAGTTTTACCTGATGCCCATAACAAAGAGAATAAACACAATGTGTTTTGCTGCTTGAGAATGACAGACTGAAGAGCAGTATCCATTTTTTCCCTCTCCTTTCTTTTCTATTCTCTTTGATGTCTGCAGCACTGGAAAGTCAGTAAGAACAGCAGTAGTTTTACTGATTTATACACGAGTATGAAATGAATATATCAAAGCTCTCGTGGTTGTTCTGAGCCTAGTGTGAGATTTGTTCCAGTTGGTGAAGTCGTTTAGTATTTGTTCTTATTTGCACATGCACAAATGTGCATCAGCTCCCAGCTTTATGATTTGGACTGAGTAATCAGACTAAACTGTTTTTATTTTTTCTTGTGATGGCAGTTAAATTTTTATAATTGATGAGGAACATTTGAAATTAGCTTTTTATATGTTGTTGCAGTCAAAGTGACATTTAATGTCAGTGAAAAGAAAGAATGTGTTCTTTATTTGTTACACATCAAACAGCTTGATGCATAAAAATACACAAATACCCACAAGAACTGATGAAACAATTTTATTTTGCCATTTGTGCAGATAGGTGAGCTTTAGGCTTCTACACGAGGCCTTTGCCGCACACTGTTGTTGGCTCAAATTTGTTCACATACCTTCCCAACTATTCAGCATGCCACTTTGCTTCTATAGGGAGAAGCAGCAACGTGATTTAAAAAAAAGACAGAAGGAAAATCACATTTCTGAGCATTTAAAATCGTCTATTTCACAGATGCTTTAACGAGGAGTCCTGCGTAACGGTGCCAGATGCTGAAGGTTACGTGATGGTGCTGCAACCAGAAGAACCCAAGATCAGCCTGAGCGGCATTGACCACTTTGCCCGCAGTGCAGCTGAATTTGAGAGCCAGGAAGGAGTGACGCTGTTCCCCGAGCTACGCATTGTGAGCACCATCACCCGTGAAGTGGAGGCCGACACGGAGTCCGAAGCTGCAGAGGGAGCTGACGATGACCCTACAGGTAAGAGATGTGCACACTGGACTCTGAAGCAACTTCCTATCATGCTAAAAGGATTTAGCATATACACAGGAGCTAACCTGTACCTGTCCATTTAAACATGGCTGCATATGTAATAGTAATTATTGCCTTGATGGCATTACAGAGTGATGATGTGTTGGAGTGATTTAAGGCACATCCGGACTGGAGGAGCTGGGGATCGAACCACCAACCTTCTCATTGTACCTCCTGAGCTTTAGGTGCTTGTTAAGAAAGCAGCTGGTCTTCCGCTTGCACACACAGGCCCGTGCACATACTATACTATGTCGTCCCCTCAACAAAAATAGAGCGCACACACTCACTGGTTTGATTTCCCTTTAAACGCTCACCTGTCTGCACCTTTGACAGTGAATGATTCTGCAGTTACAGGGTGTGTACAGTACAGACGTCTGTGCAGAACTACAGTAGCAGTCTATGTTGAGGATTACGCTTGGGGGATGAAGGGATTGGAAAAACAGCGAGAGGGAGGGTGCCATCTGTTCGGCTTGCACATAAGTTAAGTGGAGGAGACACAATAGACAAGCTCTGGGGTTGACACAGATACCACGAGATACGACGTCCTGCGGTGAGCAGCAGGCCATAAGGGACAAAAGGGCTTACAGAGCTCTGCTGCTATCACCTGCATTACCCTGCCCCACCTTACACACCTCGCAAACAAGAGATGACACGGTAGATAATTAAGAGTCATTAAAATGGAGCTTTGAAGAGTCAAATGGTACAGGCAGTAGATGCATGAAATATTAATTTGTTTCATAAGCAAGCTGAGGATGCCGACTATTACAACATTATGATTTAAATAATAAAATCACTTTCTCTGATATACAAGTATAATAACATTGCTAAATCTGCTGTAGTTGTTTTATTGGACTAACTGTTGGAGGCAGGATTCTCTGTTTACCAGCATTTCTAAAGAGCACGTTGCATATTCTATAATGTCAGTAGTTGACTCGTTTTAGCATGTCTCATCAGTTCTGGATCTTTCTCTCTTACTCCAGTTCTTTAGATTACTTTGTTTTGTTGATTGAACAGAAATAAAATCACAAATTTTTGTTCCCTTGCTCTTAATCTGTATCTATTTGTTTGGAAAGGGCAGCCAGTTCTTGAAGAAATAGAGAAGGAGTGCTGTTTCAGATTTTCAAGAGTGCTCCAAATCTTCCTCCTCAATCGTTTTTGTGCTTTTGTTCTTTCAGTCCAAGAGACGGTGGTGTCGGAGGAAATCATGCACAACCTGGACACGTGTGAAGTGACTGTGGTGGGAGACGAGCTGGACGGAGAGCACGAGAGCCTTGAAGTGGACATGTCCCAGCTGCAGCAGCGCAGCTTAGAGATGAGCTCATCCAACGTGGGGCTCGTCATCACCGGTACAGACCACCGTGCTCTGCTAGGAAGCCTTAACTAGCATATAGCCCTGGTTTCTGCAAAACCTCTAATAGTTCTGTGAGATTAAAGAAGGAAAAATGACTTGGTGTCATTAACACTTCCCCCCCCTCTCTGTGGTCCAGGTGTGAACACCATGGCCAACTACGAGCAGGTCCTGCACCTTATCCGTTACAAGAACTGGCACACCGAGGCTCTCTTTGACAGGAAATTTAAACTGGTCTGCTCTGAACTCAATGGTCGCTACATCAGCAACGACTTTAAGGTCGAGGTACGTCTGAGCGTTTGTCACGTGCACACTGAACCGTGACCAGCCTGTCCTGGTGTTATCCACATACTTGTGCGCCCTCACTTCAAGTGTGGTCTTTATTTCTCTCTAGGTTAATGTAATCCACACAGCCAGTCCCATGGAGCATGCCAACAATGCCATGGTGCAGCCCAACTTCATCAACCCTGTCCATCACGCCTCTGTGGATCTGTCTGGGCATAATTTGGTCAACGCTCATCAGGCCTCAGGTACTGAAACATGGAGAATGCTTCATCCTTTTTCAGCAGGTTGCATAGAAAATCAGTAGTCATCTGCAGCCATCGATTCACCAAAGTTTCAAAATAAAAAAAAGAAGAAAAAATCAAACATGCATCTGTTTCAGCGACGTGGAAAAAGACACAAAATCAAAGTATAAAAATCTTTCCTGCAAAAATTAATTTAAGGATGCCTGGAAAATAAATTAAGCAGTAGTGTTTATTTTTTTCCTCAGTATTGGCTGCAAGATCGTGTTTATCTGTTGAATGCAACACTAAATATCATAATCAAAGCAGTAATCAGCTTAATTGTTGCTGTAGAAAAAGATTTGTGATATGAAGCAGGAGGATTACAGCCTACTAAGCAGAAGTGGGGCATGTATGAAACACTAGTGTGTCTGTTTTTTAATGGACCAAGTTAGGGATTACTTTTGAGCGCTGTTTGTGACATCTGTACAGGCAGTGCACACTGAGCACGACCTTTTATTTTCCGGCTTCTGTATTCTTCTAAGCTGACTGCCTCGCTAAGCTCGCCACTGCACCAGAGAGGGCTCTTCCTGCTAATATGGAAAGTGGAGCAGGTTGTCGCGAGACGGGCTAAGCTATTTAAAGAAAAACAGCCTCAACACCTTATACAGCTAAAAGCACGTGTGTGTACAGATCGCTGGGAGCACGCCATAAAGCCAAAGCGGCGGTGGAAGCTGCGTCTCCACATATTTGATCGTGAAGTGTTGTTTTGCGTCTAACTAATCAGTGTTTTTCCTGATGTGGTTTACCTCCTCGTAGTGGTTCCGAGCGCTGCCACCATCGTCATCGTGGTGTGCGTCAGCTTCCTGGTGTTCATGATCATCCTGGGCGTGTTCCGCATCCGAGCTGCACACCAGCGCACCATGAGGGACCAGGAAAACGGCAAGGAGAACGAGATGGACTGGGACGATTCAGCCCTCACCATCACCGTAAACCCCATGGAGGTAAAACGACACGAGAGGAGGAAGCGGGGAAGCAAAATAAGCAACGAAAAAAATGATTATGATGGTGATTAACTGGTGAAAAGCTGTTTAACAGAATTTCGCTGCTGGTGTTAGGCTGTAGCCCAGACAGCTTTTCGCCTGCTAATGCGAACTGGGTGATGTTAAAACTGTGCCCTAGTTTTGTCTGAGCCCCTTGTAATTAGCAGCCTTGTGGGGACGAGAGAGAGACTCCGTTGCAAATATGTAAGTCACATTACCTGACTGACGCACAAGAATGAAACAAGGAAGCAGCTTCTTTTCCCAAAAGCCCAAAATGAAGCGAATGAGTCAGCTCGTGGGCTGAATATATTTGTACAAGAAGATTCATGTCTTTCTGAGTCATTCGATTACTCGTTGTTGCTTTACTGTTTGTTAAAAGGACCGATTATTTACCACGTTTTGATTTGCTTTAACTCCCATCCTGCTGTGACTAAATCACAGCACATCTGCCGAGTGAGACTTTACACATTTGACCAAAATAATCTGATCATATACAAACTCTCCAGTGAGACATACAGATTTGTTAAAAGATGATGGCCTTTTTTGGTAGCTCTGTTTTGTTAAACAGAGCTGAAACGAGACGCTCAATTTCCCGAGTATCTTGGAAATGACTCTTTCAAAGCGGTTTGTTATTTTTATTGCATGGATTTGGTTCGTAGGAGAAAGTTATTGAGGTAATGCAGCGTTTCGGCAATAAGAGACGTGCATTAAATCCTCTCCCGTGGTTTTATTGTATGTCGCTGCCTTTTAATGCTAATCTACATCCCATGTTAGCTTTTCACCTGATGTGTTGAACTTCCGTCATATTTACATCAAAGTGTACTTGAAACGTCCGAATCTATTTAGGTTTGGTTAATGTGTCTCATGTGCACCGTTCAATGACATCGAGTTTACCTTGAAAGGCTCACTGCTATGACTGTTGGGGTTTTTTTTTTTTTATTGTGTCTAATGGCCCCAGTGTTTTCTAATGTGTGAAATTCAGAACAGTGGACGTGATAAACCTTCGTCACCACCACAGAGGATTTTAAGCAAACAAGATGTGATTGAAGGGCAGACTTAGCTCAAGTTTTGCAGATGAAAGACGTGGAGCTTATTCCAAGTGTTTAACAAAATCTTAAGGAGGTAGGCGTATTATTGTGAAGAGTCTATAATCAAGAGACGTCTTCATAAATGGGAATGCAGAGGATTTACAACAAGGAGCAATAAGAAGGCCAGATTAGTCTTTGCTAGAAAACATCTAAAGGAGCCTGCACTTGTCAGATTAGCAGAGGCGTCCAAACACAGTTACATACATGAAAATGATGTGAAACAGGAAGGTAACCTGCACGGTGCTCAGCAAAGCCATGATCTGTATAAAGTTTTTCTAACACGGATTTAATAATAATAATAGATTGCATTTATATTTATTTACAATACCACTATTCATTCACTCTCACATTCACACACTGGTGGAGGGAAGCTACAGTTGTAGCCACAGCTGCCCTGGGGCAGACGGACATATCGCGCCGTCGGCCCCTCTGGCCATCACCAGTAGGCGGTAGGTGAAGTGTCTTGCCCAAGGACACAACAACCAAGACAGACAGAGCTGGGGATCGAACCGGCGACCTTCCGGTTACAAGATGAGCTTCCCAACCCCCTGAACCCCCCCTGGTCGCCCAATTTAAGTAATCGAGTATTTAAGATCACAAAATGAGTGCCCACAGTCACAGTCTCCATCTTTTCTCTCGCTGTCACTAATGCAGACGTACGAGGACCAGCACAGCAGCGAGGAGGAGGAGGAAGAGGAGGAGGAGAGCGAGGACGGCGAGGAAGAAGATGACATCACGAGCGCCGAGTCGGAGAGCAGCGAAGACGAGGAGGGCGGCGAGCCGGAGGACCAGCAGGGGGCCAGCAGACAGCAGCAGCTGGAGTGGGACGACTCCACCCTCACCTACTAAACACACACAAGACACCCAAACAAGAGCTCCCGACACACACATCAGAAATTCACTCATACTCCCTCCCCCACACACACACTCACAAACACAGCACTCCCTGCAGTTTCATGTCTAGGAGCCATGATGTAAAAACTTAACAAAAATAAAAAAAAATCAAGAAAAGGAGAAACATAAAGTCCCTTCAGCGTATATATGGTCAAGGTTTTCCTGTTGTTATCTTAGTGGTGGTACTCAGTGTAGTGTAGTCATCACCAGATTGCTGACTTTTTTTTATTTATTATATTTTAATTCCCAGGAAAACCTGGCTTACATTGGAACTGTGTGAGGAAGCCAACCCTGCACTTTGTTTGTTTTCTCTCAGATGTACGGCTTTGAAGAGCAGAGTAATCGCTTCTCCTGATGTATATTCTTTGCTAATGCTTGTAGATTAATTCGCTAAACTCACAACTAGCTCCGACTTGGGTTTTCTTGACTTGTAGTCCACAGTGAATCGAAAATGATGCTTTTAACAAGTAGACTGCATTTTCCTCTTCCATTTCTTTTTTTTGTTTTTCTTATTAGTGCATGGAGAAATTTGGGGGAAGTCATGTGTAGAGAAATAAATTGCTTTTTAAAGATTTTTGTAAATATAATGAAACCATGTAATTAGTCAATGTGTTAGTGAAGACCTAATCAATGGGGTCCAATATCTACGATTATGTAATGTAGACTATTTGTGTCACACAGGCTGTCGCAGCATGCCGCTGAATTTCTGCAAAAGCTGTTCCATCACGCTTGTACAAAATGTCTCGCTTCATGATGCGAAACCGAGGACTGTTCAGCGGTTTCCATGACAAAAAGGTGTCCATTTCGTCCCTTTTCTTTAATCTTTTGCGAGGAGTAAAGTAGTTTCTTTTGCTTTCTCGTAGACAGAGGGCTTAGTTGACGGTTTCAGCTTCACATGATGCTTTTGCTTCGCTTGCACGCGTGGCAACGCTCTACTCCTGGCTTTAGTGTTGTTTCATTCCCAGCAGATCTCACTGATGTACACTACAGAAGGAATCTTCTTTCAGTTTCAGAAAATGTCGTGTGGAATCACAAAGATCGGCTCAGCAGTGCCGTTCGTGGTGAAAATAAGGGTACTAAAATGTCCTCAGCAGCTTTAAAACCTTTGTCCCTGTTGTGGTTCAAGGAGAAACCCTTTCAAGCTACTGAAAGAAAATGTTTATGAGCTTTAGTGGAGACTGGCTGAATCGTTGAATTGCTGGCAATGTTTTATTTTTTTTTTCTTTTCATGGCACGGCTATTTTACCTAAAATAATAATACATAGCCTGTATGAGGTACATTTTAAACTGTTTGCTGCTTCAGCAGGAAAACACTTTAAAAATGAATCTTTGAATCTTAAAGTGAGATATTTTTTTTGCAGTAGACCACTAGATTTTATTGTACATGAAACTGTACTGTAGAGTTGTTCAAAGATATTTGTTTACATTTGGTAAACTTATTTTCCTTCGGGTATTAGTATGAAGCTTACGATTGGGAAAGTGTGTCCGACCTCTTGTCTCCTCTCAGACACTGTTGTCCATAACTTGTATATAATCTTTCACCAGACCAGATAAAAACGTGCCGTCACACTGAACGATTTTAGTGTTCGTCTTTTATGGGGGGGTACAGAGTAAAATATAAGCGTTTCCCAAACCTGCATTTATTACGACCATGTTTGGGGCTTTGGATTGTGCAGAAAATGGCATTATCGGGATTGGAAAAGTCTATGCGTGCAAATCCGTTTTCAGAGGCCAAAATTAATTAAAAACACCTTCAACACTTATTATTGTTGTTGATGTAAAAAGTTTCCAGGCTACTTTTGTTTTCAGCTCAGTGAATCCATTTGATTTATTTGATTTTCTTTAATAGGTGTGCATTTGAAACGTAGTGAACAGTCTCCCTTCCATGATGACTTTGGCTTGTTTTAAAAAATGAAAAAACTAAAAAAAAAAAAAAAAAAAAAAAAGGGGGGGGGGGGCGCCAGGTCTGAGCCGGCTGAGATGGGAGTGCCTTTTGCCGATCATAGCGTAATTAGCTGGTCTAACAAACACACGTATCCGTGCTCTTTTATTTTTATTTTTAATGCTAGATTTCTTTCGTAGCTGGGGAGACGTTTTCTCTCAGTTTGTCGCGATAATAGGCCGACGCTAGTTTTATTACAGGTGAAAACATTTTACGTAGATGTCACGTGTCCTTGTTGATGTGTAGAGGAGTAGATCCACATTGTATCTTCTATAGATATTGTACTTAAAAATCATATTGACGGAATCCACCTTTAAAAGATGTACATTATGAAATTGCTTTGGCAGCATACAGCGTGTATACTGACCTATTTGTGTATAGTGGAAGGTGAGTTTCTTTTTTCTTTTTAACAGTGTCCTGTTGCTTGAGCTGTTGAGAAACAATATTTTTTTTTTAAATTTTTTTTTTTTTGAGGGCAGCATGAAATTTCACAAGAGTATATATGCCTGTCGGTGACGCAATTCTCACGGTTTCATTGTGTCAAACACTTCATGTCCACATTTCAGCTACAGTTGAAAGGTTCACTAGCATCTCGTTTGCTTTCTGGTGCGCCCCCAATGAATGTCACTGCCTAACAATCTGAAATGCAACCATACTGTAACAACATCAAGATGAAGTAAGGAAGGGTGGGTGGATGGACAGGTGGGTGGGGGTATATTGACTTTGCATGAACCACAAGTGTGTGTGTACGCTCCACGTGGGCCTATGAGACCGGAGTGAGAAAGGAGACGTGATACACTACTGATTCTCAGATTGTCTGTTTCACACATCCATGACACTCAAGAAATTTTTTTTTCTTTGTTTTAAAATCTGCTCAAAATGGACGGTGACGGTGTTTTCAGCGTGGTTGGATGCTTCCTTTGTGCTTGTTGGAGCTGCTCTCTTTTCTACCAGTTGAAAGGCAAATGTAGTGAGGTTGATGCTTGCTCGTAAACAAAATAAAGGAAGATGAGATGGGGTATAACTTCTGTCTGCTCTTGTTTTCCTTCATTGTATTCTCTAGTGTAAACATGGTGCCGGTGCACAGCATGGGAACACACCCTGGGTGGTGCTGTGAGTCTTTTTTTTGTAAATATTGAGCACTGTTGCCCTCTGGTGGTGAAACTGAGATCTGCTACAGCTCCACGATAAAATATAGAGCTGGTGGAGTTATTATGCTCCTTTTCAACTCCATGCTTTTATTCGTGCGCTCTACCAGGGCTGCTTTGCATGATTCACATTTCAAACTGTGTATAGTAGAACCACCAGTAATACCAGTAAAGGCCTTAATGCTTGGGTATATTTCTCATTTCCCTTTCTTAGAATTGGCTGCCCCTCAAGAACAGGTTTGAACAGCAGGTGGGTGGGCCTCCTGTGCTCAGAGCATATTTATGATACCTACTCTCAGTGACATCATACAGAGACAAGATTTGAAAACTGTCTGAAGTGAACCTTGAGAGCAGTTTGAAGCTTTAGGCACTCCGGGACGACATGTATGTTTGCCAATCTCATTATTTCAGACTTTGGCCATGTTTAAAATGAGCATCCACCAGTGTAACAGTGTATACACTCATGCGATACTTTATTAGATTTGACTTGCTAGTATCAAGTTGGACCCTCCTTGCCTTTAGAATTACCTTAATTCTTTCGGCAAAGATTCAAGACGGATACACGGTGGTCATAAAGTGACGGACATGGCCTGCAGTAACACTCAGGTAAGCTGTGGTGTTTATTTGATGCCCAAAATGTGTGAAGAAAATATCCCCCACACCATTACACCACCAGCAGCAGCCCAATCAGATCCATGCTTTTATACTGTTCACGGTACTCTGTTTGAACATACGAACATGACCACAGGCAATGTGATTGGCTGATAAAATATTAATGCTGATGAGCAGCTGAACAGGTGTACATAGTGGCAGGTGACTGTACATGGTGGGAAATAAAACATGAAGCCTGTTGTTAGTTTTCTTTTTACTCACATTGAAAGTAGCAAGAATATCAAGATTAATGCTGTAAACATTGTGACATTCACTTCTACACAGACTCTGATGCGAGTTTAAAAACTATCAAACTTCATCACTGTCAACATGAAACTACAGTCATCAGTTTGAGTTGCATGATAATAAATGCATAGAGGACTCATTAAAATAATGGAAACACCCAAGTGACACTGAATAGTGGTAAGGCGTCTCGATTCATTACTTCATCCTGTAAAATCTTTGTATTTTCTCTGTATTTTCTCCATGAACAGACCGAAGACCCACACTATTAATAAAACTTTATGATTCTCATATTGTTGGACGACGGCTGCTCTAATCCACCCTGCAGACTCAGCACATTTCAACTAAACTGGTGAAAGACTCGTTGAGTTTTACTAAAGATATCAGACTCTACATCTCACCTGCACACAAGTGACGGCACAGTTTTAGCTGAAATAAAAATACACCCTGAAGGAAAACTGCATCCTAAAAACAGCACTGTTGAATATTGAAATTTTGGAATAAAGAATCACTGCACAAACCACAAGATCATAATAACAAACTGTCTGCGCCGTCCTCTACATTCACGCGCCTTTTAGCAAATCACACGCTCGTACCTAAAATACATTTTTACACTTTATCTGGACGATTAAAAGACATTTACAAAGATTGACGTGTACATATAAAACAATACTGTTAAAAGTGTCAGCGTCTGCAGTAGCACTCAAAAGCGCACTGATTGTTTAGGAAATCCATAATCGGATGGCACATTTTTGTCTTCATTAAAAACACACTTTTTTTTTTTTTTGCAGAACTGCTATGACTTTGTTTTCACACCAGAGCTAGCTAAAGCCATTATTTTGTCTTCGGACCCTGAAAAAAGGAAAGCAAAATGAGGTCAACAGAAATATCTGTGAGAAAGTATCAGTTTTGTAGTAAAATCATCTTTATGCTCACCTTGGTTTGCAGTCACTTTTTCAAACTGGCTCAGGGTCGCTGTGGCGTTTTCAGTGAGGAACGTCTCGTCTTCTGGGGTGAGCTGTCACATAATTACAACATGAATGAAAGGAAAGATTTGAGGCAGCTAGTGAGGGCTGCATGACTGAAATGAATCATTTCAGACTTTACGTAGCACAAGCCGCTGAATCATCCTCAACTCTGTGGATAATCATGTGTGCTCCGAGTGCTCCTCACCTTCTCCCCCAGTTTTCTCAAGGCAGTGAGGATTTCCATTTTCTGCTGCGTGTACACGTCCCGTGACAGTTTTCCCACCATCACATCGCGGTCCATCTGCACAGTATGCCACACACCGGTCGGCAAATGAATCCACACATAAACACTGAGGTGTGACTGAACTCTGCTGTTGTGGTCAGAAATGTGTGTGCAATCATGGCAATTTGGGGCCTTTGATAATTTCTTTGAACTGTTCTTCCAGCAAACATCTTTCATGATATTAAGCAAGAAGAATTTTAAAACAAGTTTGAATTTTTTGGGGGATTTCCTCCAATCCACACAGGGTGAAATAATAGGTTTAAATATAGACATGCACTCACTTAAATCTTTCAATAAGTGGACAAAGTGGATGGAATAAGGAAGGATGAGGAATACCTCTAAATTCTTCAACTTCACCTCAAATGAACACAACACATGATCAGAGCAATAATCCCAAACACACATCAGAACTGGGTTCAGTTTGGATAAAACAGGCTAACATTAAGCTTTTGGAATGACCTTCCCAAAGCCCCGACCCCATTCTTGTTGAAAATGTATGGACTGCGTTTAAAAGTCGTGTCTGTGCCAGGAAACCGACCAATTTAATTTAATTTTAATTTAATTTTATATACACACACACACACACACAAACCGTGTGTGTGTGTGTATATATTATACAATATATATTTGACATTGCAAACCTCTGCCAGTCTGCTTCTCAGCTGTCCTGGCTGCTTCTTAGCAAAAAGTCGTATCACCTCCGGGGTTTTGAAGGCTTGGCTGATGGCAGCTTGGATCGCCTGATGAAGACAGAAACATCTGAACGTTCTGACATTTTACTAATCAACAGTTTTCTTAATCAATGTGCTATAACCTATTTAATGCACTCCTAATACACAGTAGTAGCACATTAATTGTCCATACCAGTTGCATCCCACTGAGTTCATCCACAAGTGTCATATCTCCTGACATTATTTTCTTCAAGGAGTCATTGAATTCACCCAGCTGCTCCAAAGTTTCCTTCTTTGTCTCTTCGTACTCTTCCTCATCCAGATCTTCTCTGGAATAAACAAATGAAGGAATCAAAACTGAGACACAACAAAAGAATAGAGAAGCATTTATTTACTCACTGTTTTTTTATTCTCTTTGTTATTCTTCAGGTACTGCATGCCAGATTTTCATATACAAAAAGCACACAAGAGGAGTTTATTGTTTTTCTTTTTCTGTACTACACCTGCATTCCTCCAGGTCCTGAAGCTGCTGCATTAGTCTGTCAAGTTGTTCCTCCATATTTTGCCTCAATTTTCCAGTTTCTGATTTCCCTCGAGAGGCCATCTTCAGTTAAAATCCTATTTTTCCTACGGGAACTGAAAGAACTGGCACCAAACAACAGGTCACGTTAGGTTTTGTTGCTGATGTACTTCACAGATAACTCAAAGATGACCTAACGTGCTATTTCCACTCGATGAGAGCAGAGCTGTTAGTGAAAAAAAAAAACACAACACTTTATCGGATCTAACAGTCTCTTTGGCGACTACACTGATAAGATAAATGTATCTGTGTGTTGGAAGTTCATGCAAACAGTCCAAGTTGTTTTGTTAGCTAAACAGCTAGCGTACATGCTAAAGGAAAACATCTTACCGGGAATTTCTTTGTAAACAGCTGCAAATCAGCCTTAGTAGAATGTTAGCATTTGCTCAAGAGTTTGTCGTAAATTAAAGAAGGTAGCCGTTCTAGAGGAAAATTAAAAATAATTACTTAAAATACGGCTATAACACGTTTACTATTAGTCGAGACGTTTGGGATTTGGGGAATTTGTGATTGTGAACGCAGCACCACCAGAGCGGGTGCGGCTCACCGCTTCCTTGTCGATTGTGTCCAATCGGATTAGTGGATCTTACAGCGTAGTCCGTGACGTCAAAGAAGGAAGCAGGTGAAAGACAAATGGTATCTGTAGCTGTTTGTCTTGGTACTACAATGACTACATTATTTGACATTATATTAAAAACGCATAATTTGCTTTTAAGTTAAGCACCGAGTTCATGTTTTTGTCTGTTTAAGAATCTTGGACGTAAAAGGAGGCTCGCGCTGTGTGCTCAATAGATAAGCTAAAGTTAGCTACTTGTTATAGTCGAATGCTAACGTTTAACATAGATAAAGCGTCGAACTTTAGTTTTCTTTACGTTTGTAGTTCCACTTAATGAAGCTCACAGACTGTATTTAAACGAGGTTAAACTACTCTCTTGATACAAATATACTGTTTCCGCCCCCCACAAAGCGATTCTCGACATGTGATCAGCCAAGTCTTAATCAGTCTTCGTTTCTTCTCCTTGTTTGTGCAAACCCAGCTCCAGTATGAGCCATGGAGGGTCACAGTATAACCAAAGTGGTCCTGCTGGCCTGCGGGTCCTTCAACCCCATCACCAACATGCACATGAGGATGTTTGAACTGGCTCGAGATCACCTGGAAGACACAGGTTGAGTTACATGAAAATTGGATCTTTTAGTGTGATGCATCTCCACCTTTATCATCCATTCATTTTTATTTTTATTTTTTAAATGAATGAATGATACTCCAGCTTTAATTCTGGGTACTCCAGCTTTCTCCCACAGTCACCCAACGCAGAGACATGCATGGGATGATTCTAAACTTACTGTGTGCATGAAGGGTTCTCTGTTTCTATATGTTACCCCTGCAACAGATTTGCAATCTACCCAGGATGTACCCTGCAATCCTGAAATGGATAAATTGGAAGAAGATGGATAGATGTGCAAAAATTAAGTGAAAGGGGTAGCTTTGTCGTAAAAAGGGATTGTGAATCAGTACACTGGAGAGGCAAGTGTTTTGGATAAAATTGTTATACCAAAAGCCCAGATACAAAATAGTTCAAGAAGGAATTATGCTTTTGTAAATTGATTAATATGACAGTACAGAAAAGCTGGCAGTGTTTTAATATTGCATTATTATATTATTAATAGACACTATTAGGTTGTGCCTCATACTTGATTTGGGAGTTTTATGCCAGATCCTCTTCCTGACCCAACCCCATTGGGACCCCTCCAGCTGGAATGACTTTGCATTTCACCACATATTTTGATTTGGCAGACCTGGGATCAAACCAGGGATCTTTTGTTTGTTAGGCTAATGTGTAAACCACAACACTATCGAGCTAGAACCAATTATTTATTCAGTAAATGCTGATTTCTTTGATTCTGTCTTTGTTTCGGCTGTGGCTGCCTGGATTCTATTCTGCTCAGTTTCCCGTGTGTCATTTCCCTTGTGCTCTCTTCCAACTTTCTTCTCTACTGTTCTGTCCAATAAAGTCTAATAATTCAAATATAATATTTTACCTGACCAGTACTTAAACACGTGTCTTCTTTTGTGCGTAAGGTCAGTATAAGGTGGTGAGAGGAATCATCTCTCCAGTGGGTGATGCATATAAGAAAAAGGGCTTGATTGAAGCCTGCCACCGTCTGGAGATGACTCGATTGGCTACCGAAAGCTCAGACTGGGTTATGGTGGATTCCTGGGAGAGTTTGCAGCCAGAGTGGGTGGAAACGGCTAAAGTAGTTCGGTGAGTTGACATTTCTTGCGTCTGAGTGCTTTTGCTTTGCTTTAGATTTGATATGTGTGTGTGTGTGTGTGTGTGTGTGTGTGTGTGTGTGTGTGTTCTAGATAAATTAATTCTTAAAGTAACAAAATCCATTATAGAGGTTTGATTTAAACCTTAGGGATTAAAATTAAACTTGTGCAGGCTTAATTAGATATTAGATAGTTAACATCATTATGCCTCACATAAATGAAATCATTATTTAGAATCTTTGTTTTCCTGTGGCAGCAGGAAAAGGAAGAAATGCAAGGCAGGAAATGTGAGAGCCTTCACTGGTATGATACTTGATACATGTTATGATTTGCCGAATACTTCCCAGAACTTTGCAGGTGCAGTTCAAACAAGATAGAATCAGACAAAGTCAATCAAAATTCCTTAATTGTTTAAGTTGAAGGCTGAAATTATTAAATGCTGATGGTGAAAAGAATCTGAAATAAAACTGCAGCCTCACAGACTTGAAGAAAAAAACCCATAAAAGGCACAAAAACAGTTTAATAATGAGATCAAATGCATTTAGCATAACAAGAATTGGATTTTGGAGCACTATTTTGCTGACTGACAACTACCAATAGTAGCCTTTTTCCACTTTATAGCAAACTGTAAATAAAGTATACACTCAGCGTGGTTTTTACTTGATAAAAATCTTTGATTCCAATTTGTAAATTTACAGGCATCACTATGAGGAGCTTCTTGCAGCAGAGCAGAACATCGATGATGTGGACACGATCAAGTATGCAAAAAAGAGGCGCATAGAAGAGAATCATCACAAAGACAGAGGTATGTCATGCCATACATTTACCTCCCTGTCATTGTCTGTAACTTTTCTTGTCCATCAAACGAGCCATGCAACAAACGTAGTTGTCAGGATTTTCCTGTTTGCAGCTTAACTGACAAGAGAATGGGTTTAGGGTGTGGATACACAGGTGTGGTTTTAACAGCACGAGCTGAGCCTCTGGGGGATGGAAGGGAAAAATATGCATTATAGAAGCACTTGAAATTTTGCTGAAGGTGCATTGTAAAAGCTGGCAGGTTGAAGTGCATACTATGCTTTGCATTTAAGTTCTACTAGCATCGCTTAACCCTGTAAAGCTTGAACCATGAAGTGTAATTGCCAGAATATTCTGACAAAAAATTTATTAAATATCAATTTTATCAGTTTGCATATATGAGTTATATGTGAGCTACAGTTGGCATTTTTGTGCAATGTATTACTTACATACTTACTGTCCAATTTATTCAGGAAAAAAAATGGAAAACAGAAGATGCAGAGGTCACAAAATCTCATGTATCAAATACGTTACACTTGGCATTACAGGGTTAAGATGTCAGCAGTTCACTTTAAAACCAGTGCAGCAGAACTGAATATCTTCTTCTTTATTCTATGAATCACCCTCTTTCCTCATCAAAATTTTAACCCTGCAATGATCTGCAGTCCAACGTGACCACTGACAATTCATTAGGACATTTGGGTGTGTTCTTATTCGCAGCTAATGTAGGCAAGTTCCAGTAAGCGCACTTCTTTGTTATTCCACACCTTCAAACTCAACTGATGTAGAAGCTGAAATAAATAGAATTTGATTTCATGTGTGTCAATTTCAGGCAGTCACATATGCACTGTTCTGCCCCATGACAGATAGTGAATACACTAATGGTCCAAACTTTAAGAAGACCCCAATTCTTCCATTCTTTAAATTGAAATTCAAGCAGCTCAAGTCCAACGAATAGCTTAAAATAGTGTAATGTTACCTAAAACTAAAAAAATACATATTTCAGAAATATACAACGGCCTTTTTTAGAGAACAGGAAATGGATTAAGAACTTAAACCTGTTCCGCAGCAAAGGAGGTTGATCGAGCTTTGACAGTTGGTCCTACCAACCTACTTTTGTACACCATTGAACAAGAAAAAACATGTTGAGTGTGACATCAACTTTTAAATATGAGGAGGAAGCGTGATGGTCTCGGGATGTTGGTGTCATGTACAGATTTAGAGGCACCTTGAACCAAAATGGTTCTGCATTGCCATGCAGTACCCTCTGGTATGCACCTAGTTGGTCAGGGGTTCATCCTACACCAAGATAAAAACCCAAAACATAAGTCCAAGCTGTGCCAGAACTACAGTCCATCCATCCATGTTCTTCTCCTTATCCATGGGCACAGTAGCCTAAGCAAGGATGCCCAGACCTCCCTCTCTCCAGCGACCTCCTCCAGCTTATCCCGAGGAACACAGAGGCATTTCTAGGCCTCTGTGTCTCCAGCAGGTCCTGGGTCTGCCCCTGGGCCTCATTCTGGAGTTGGCCAGTAGGCATCCTTGCCAGATGCTTGAACCACCTCAACTGACTTCTTTCGATGTGGAGGAGTAGTGACTCTACTCTGAGCCATTCTCAGGTGGCTGAGCTCATTTTCGCCGCTTGTATCCGCGATCTCATTCTTTCAGTCACTACCCAGAGCTCGCGACCATAGTAGAGGACAGGGACGTCGATTGACTGGTAAACCGAGAGCTTCACTTTCATGCGGCTGGACGGATGGATAGATGGCATTGTAGAGATAATGCCATGAGTGCTTTTAGCTGTTCTCTCTGCCAAAGGTGACTACTTTGATGAAAAGTTTAGATTACATTTTGATTTATAAATGGATTCCATGGTTGTTCTATGCTTTAATCTCAATGAGACATTAAACTGCTTGAATTTCAATAAAAAACTGGAAGAATTGGGGTGTTCTAAAATTTTTGACCTGAAGCATATGCACAGTGTGGATTAGTTGACTCTTGTGTTGTGCTGACAGACTTGTTTCTCTGTGCTCAGATGACCTTCAGCTGATGTTGCTGTGCGGGGCTGACGTCCTCGAGTCTTTTGGGATTCCCAACATGTGGAAGCAGGAGGATATCGCAGAGATCGTGGGCCGCCACGGTTTGGTTTGCATCACCCGCAGCAACAGCGATCCACACAAGTTCATCCACCAGTCAGACTTGCTGTGGAAGTATCGCAAGAACATCCATATCGTCCGCGAATGGGTGACTAACGACATCTCAGCCACTCATGTGCGGCGGTCGCTGCGGCGCGGCCAGAGCGTCAGATACCTTCTGCCAGACAGCGTCATTCACTACATCAAAGAGCACGGCCTGTACAGCTCTGAGAGCGAGCAGAAAAACGCAGATGTGGTTCTAGCGCCCCTCCAGAGGTACACGGGCGCTTCCTCAAGTTGAGGAAATTTGACTGTGAATTTAAAACAAAACACAAATTCACATAATTCAAGCTTCCAACAGTGCCTGCACTGAACAGGGGTCTTTTCTAAGAATGGGTGTGTTTCAGGTTGTTGAGTGAAGTGATTTAGTAACAGTTTCACTTTGCCAGAACTTTTTGTTTGCGTGTGTGGGAAAAATACACAAGATCACAAAATAACTGAGCAGCAGATCATATAGATGAGCGGTCACATAAATGTGTTTCCAGCCAATCAAAGGATTTACATTCAACTGTGAAATGGTGAGCCGACGATGTTTTTTATTAGATGAAATATGGTGCATAGAGAATTAATTGAATCACACTTGTTTTACCACAGTTATCCTTTCCATGTGTGGCTTCAGCGCACTCCTGTTAGTCAACATGTTTTTGTACCTAGAGCTGTATTTTTCCATGCTTTAAATACCCACTTCTTCAGATCTGATGATAAAGACATGATATGTGATATTCTAGAAATAAACAGCACTTTGTTTACCACCTTGTGAGCTGTTCATTGTTGCTTTTATCGCACAGATAAGAATCCTTAAAAAGTCCTAGCTTTGCTTTCATGATGAAAATGCTTATCTCGCAGGATTATCCTTACTTTTAGATTTCCGGTGAAATAACGAAACTTCAGCCAAATGAAGAGATGTGATTATAGTAATGGGGTTTAAACTAGAATATAACACAGAACATCATCATTAGTATCAGAATTGATCATTATTAGTAGTAGTATTTTAATAATAATAATAATTTTATTATGATTCGTTTTGAAAAACATTATTATTTCTACCAATTTACTCTGAGTATGTTTTAGCCAGCATCCCAAACTCCTCTGTGTTTTATTTAAGCAGTTAATACGTCTGCATTGTCTTTACGCACATTTCGAGCGTTGGCAGGGAAAAAACCCTGACGTGGTTTTCCCGTGTCACAACACACCCCGTCAGAAGAAGCAACAACAACACCCGAGTATTTGGATAAGTGCCCTGTGTTTCATTTATTTATTTTTTCCACACTTGACTTACATCAATCCTTTTCACACTGCATGCCAGATAATGCAAGAGTGTCACTATGTTCCTCATTGCACATAAAGGTGTGCCATTTTTACGTAAGCCCTGTTTGTAAGAAACAGAAGCTGTTTGATTCTGTTTATGTCTAGACTGGAATATTGAAATCCCTCTCCCTATAAAACTATTATATAAATATAAAACCTTAAATGAGATGAGCATGATTTTTTTTTTCTTTTAACTGGGAATATGTAGATTGTTGAAACTCAGAGAGAGTCCAGTGCCACAGCAAATTCACACATAGTACAAAAACATTACAAAAAAAGATAAAGTGCCAGATAATGTATGCCTACCAGCTACTACACTACGAGATAAATACATATAATCACAATTTAAGATTTCTCTAACTGTGCAGTAAAAAGTATAGTGTGCAAATCGGTCAATATAACATTTACAGTCGTGAAAAATCAAGATTTCAACAGGACTGTGCAGCCCTTATTCCATGATTATTACCTATTATTATTATTATTATTATTATTACCTATATATATATTAGCTTGTAGAACCACCTTTAGAAACAGTAACTTGGAAGTTACAACTTTCTGTTTGATTTTTCAGTCAAACAGAAAGTGACATGGTTGTGGAGGAACTTTGGTCCACTCTTCTATGGCTGTGCTGCCTTTTTCTATTTAGAGAGAAGAGGCTTTGTCCCGGTGATGATTCCAACGATTCCAGCTGCTCCTTGCTGCTGCTTACCTTCTTAATTCCTATCGAAGCAATTAGGGTGGACTTAGTTTGTGTACTTAATCATGTAAAATCTCTTTTCACATGGCTGTATTTACTGCAGTTATATAACAGAAATAGAGTGACTGCTTTGCCATCATTGTACAAGTGATTAATTCTGAGTAACTTTTTGTTTTATTAAAAGAAAAGGATAAAAGCCTTTCGGTCCATCATTCAAATCCAAACACTGCTTCTGGATAACATGCACCATTAGGATTTGAATGCCATAAAGGCGTGATGCCTGGGGCAAATTTTCACAGCCATGTTTAAACTGAACTGTTGCACCAGTCTGACACGTCTGGCCTCTTCTTTACTCTGGAACAAATCAGTTCACCTCTCTCATCCTCAGGTGACAGGACACACCTGCCTCTGAGTCTCCTGATCTCATATAAACAGCATTTGCCTCAGCCTCCTCTCAGCAGTCTGCACCTGACCGGCTCAGGATCACCTTGCACTTACACGCTTCCCAAAAGAAGGAAAAGTCAAGTCCGTCAGCATGCCTGCCAGCCTGAGTGGCAAATGGGAGATGATCAGCAATGTCAACTTTGACAACTACATGATTGCGCTGGGTAAGTCCGCGTGTTGTTTCCCTCCAGAGTATGTGCATTCACATCATTCAAAATGCACTTCTGTAGAAAAACACGGCAGCGGGGCTATTTATCATTCAACCTCTTTTTCCACTTTTCCAGGCATAAGCGCTTCCTTACGAAAAATTGCTGCAAAACTTACCTTAAAGAAAAAAATTGAGCGGCAGGAGGACCAGTTCATCGTCAAAACCACGAGCACTTTCCGAAACTACACGGTCACCTTCAAAGTGGGCCAGGAATTTAACGAGTTTACAAAGGGACTAGACAACAGACACCTGAAGGTGAATGGGAATGGCTAAAGTGTATCATAAATATCATAATTGGAAGGGTTTGTTTCATAGATAATTGATGCACTTTGAATATTATGCATGTTGAAAAACAAGTCGTGATTCACGCTTTTGCTTCTCTGTTACCTGTGCAGTCACTCGTGAGATGGGAGGGGAACAAACTAATATGTGAACAGACTGGAGAGAAGAAGAACAGGGGATGGACTCACTGGATTGAAGATGACAAGCTTCATCTGGTAAGACTGTGAATTTGGACATTCTACATAATACACAGAATTTAAAAACTATGTATTATTGAACTCATTTTAATCTGTTATATTTAAATAAAATGTAATTATTAAAACTTTTCTGACCTTTTCTCCTTAGGAGCTGTTCTGTGAAGGACAAGTCTGCAAGCAGGTTTATAAGAACGTTTCAAAGACGAGAGAAGAAGAATGAAGAGTTGGAGGAGGATCTTGAGGTGGTCCAGAATTAGAAGATTAGTAGATTTATCAGCGTAAAACCCTGACTGTGAAACCCACCCCGAGAGTTGCGACTGGTGTCTTCCCCGTTGCTTATATACTCGGTTCAGGTGGAAACGTCTGTACTCTCAGGGTATGCATTTACACCACTAGATGGTATCGCTGCAATACTTTTGTCAGATGCTGGTCTGTCTGGTCCAGCAACCTGTCGGTGCGTGCCTCGATCCCAAACCGTCAATAATGTTTATAGCACCATTCAGCTGGCTGAAAAAATGTATTTTTTGTTAAATATTTAGAGCTATGAGAAAAAGGAGACACGGGTGCTGCTTGTGCTCTCCGTCGTGCATTTTGTTCAATGTTTCTGTAAATTTCTCATTCATGCAAGAACATTTATAACCAGTGTAACTGAAAGTTATTCATAGGATGTTTGTAATACAGTTTTGTTGTATGTAATATGTGAGCAAGAAAAATAAATCTGATGTAAAAGTTGAAGCTTTTTTTTTATTTTGTTCTTAGTAAACTGACAGGTTTTTGTTGTGCCATTAATCACACGTCACCATCGGATCGACCGGTAAAGTCACCGTACCCCGTCGGCTGAATGCTGCTGACACACTTCAACTATAAGTTACACTAATGCATACGATTTGCTGCTTGAGCTCTGCGGTAGAAGCTTCAGGTAACAGTAGTTTAGGGCTTCTGCAGCAATCGTGGTAACCAGAATGACTAAAGGACACTGAGCGGATTATCCCATGCAGGTCACACTTTGGGAAGAACCCCTCATCTCTCTTTGTAATTTAAAAGAGGTCATTCATCAGCGTGTGCAGCTAGTTTTTAAAGCTCAACCCTACTTGATAATTGCATAATTTGCCAGACAAATAGAAATGTGTTGAGGAAATTCTGCGCTCACAGCTGCCCTTCATTGATCCACTTCTGTGCCCAGAGAAAATGTCTCATCTGGTTTGGCTCTGCAGCACCACCTGTCAGCCACCTATGATCCACTCCCAGGCACTTCATACACTACTCACACTTTGCCTTAGGTAACCTAAATAGGTCATATGGGGTGGGGCAAGGTCTCATAGTGACTTTACCCTTAACCCCAGGTAATGGTAATGACCCACACCTGTTTTCACACCACCCACGACCCTCAGGACCACCTCCAAAGGGGACAGCCCCCACCTGGGACTCTCAATCTTCTTCATTTGTTTTAAAAATTGAAGAAGCTTCTTGGATGGGAAGTGAAACACCTTCACAAACCTAAAGAAATCCAGTTGGACTCTTTTTTTTCAATCTAGGACAGATATTTTTGCACTTATATATATATTCATGAGCATACCATAGAGTATAAATAGTAAATGAACTGGTACTTTCTAGTTAGTTGATCAGTCAAGTGGGGCTACTCAAGGTTTAAGTGTCTTGCCCAAGGATACTTGGGTACTTTGGATACTGACTGCCTGTGGGTTTTTTTTTTAAAATATATATTAATTACGGCGAGTTATTGCCAAAAATTGTACAATTTTGGTTTTCATCTGGTGTACTGCCCACCCTGTCACACACGTGATGTGGCTGTAACTGCGTTAAAAATAAACAGGCATTAAAATAAAATGTATAGGCACATACTGTGCAGGCATCTTTACCTGGTGACAGATGATTGGCAATTACGTCACTAATATAAGTCTTTGCAGTGACCTTGCACCCCTCTGACTGGCCATGGTTCACGCACGCTCAGTTTGATGCGTTTTATGTGGTAAATGTGACCTCAGTTATAACCCGAGGTCACGCTAATGCAGGAGCGTTACATTAAAGTGACATAAACAGACTTTTATACTTACACAACAGATGAAATACTCCATTTATCTGTGCGACACGCTACGCACCCCCACCTTTGGTCCCTTTGGTCACGTGACTTGTGGAACCAAAATGGCCGCTGTTGTATTTTGACGTATAATAGCTAGCTACTTTTCTTTTTGTTTCATTCTTGGTAGAAAACCAGCAAACAGCAGACTTTTTGGGGGAACTATATTTCGCCATCCTCCGAATATCGGTGTCGTTTTTTATCTTGAAGACAATCAAAATCCTGACACATATATTTGTTGAACGAGTTAGACTATGCATATTTAGATCTAATACAAGCTAGCTAGCTGGCTCTGGCTGGCATATTAAAGCATTAGAAAGTGAAATAGCTAGCTGTCTTAGCTGGGATGATGGAGGAGTTGAGCGCAGATGAGGTAAGGTGACAATATGAATAAACGCTTACACAGGGAATTGAAATTATTTTACGTTACTGACGTTAGAAATGTACGTTTTGCAAATTCTTCCTTTACCCCTTTTAGGGGTATTGCTGCTAGCTGAGATGCTACAAAAACTAGCTGATGAAAGAAATACATTTTCGATAAATATCTCAGTTAGCTAGAACACGGCAGTGGGTGTCACGCAGTTTAACTCAAAGGCTAATTATTCACTTCTTATATTGGGAATATAAGAAGTGAAAGAACGAGAGGCGGATTTGGGCCGTGTTCTATTTAGCTGGAGCAGCTGGGTTGCTAAATGAAAGTAGCTAACGTAATGCTACAAGCTGGAGAACACTGCTCTTATATAAAGCATCGAACATATTTCAAGATATTGTTAGCCGCTTGTAAGTGGCAGATATTTTTCGGTGTTGTGTTTTGACAGGGAGATTAGGAAGGGAAGACGTTCTTTTTACTGATATGTTTTCGCATGTCACCTCGCGGCGGTTTAGCTGACAGTCAGAAATTAGCCTGCGAGACGACTCAGCATAAAAAACACACACAGAGACCGGGCCACCATTGTGCAATCAGCCGTGGGCCGATGCATGGCCATTGAGCTGTTTATGTGAAATCGCATACAGCATACTGCAGCTTACTGTTATCATTTTCAGATGCTCGATTAGCATTCAGCAGAGTGTGCAGCAGATAATTTAGCTTTAACGTCGCTCCTCGGCCAAGCTGCGAAGATTGGTGTCCGCATCTGACTTTATTCGCGATGTTTTTCTTCAGATCTGACTTTAAAACGTATAACAAAGAAAATCTTTGCCTTTCTGGGCAATACATGCATAATTTGGTTATTCTTACAGTGTCCAGGCATTTATATACATACATATAGGTTTATTAATAACCTATTAATACATTTCAACATTATGCAGTTATGAAGAGCTACAGAGTTCTTTTAATGACCCTGTAAATCTGCTCATTCAAGATTCGCAGGAGGAGACTGGCACGATTGGCAGGAGGACAAACGTCCCAGCCTAGCACCCCTCTCAGCACACCCCTGACATCCCCACAGAGAGAGACTCCACCTGGACCCCTCCCTGGACCCTCAGGTGCTGCGCCCCAACCCGTGCCACCAGCTGCCTCTCAATCACTGGGCCTCAATGTCCACAGTGGTACCCCTGCCACATCCCCTATGGGCACCTCTGGTAAGAAATTAAAACAAGGTTCTGGGAATTTCCTATAAGGAAAAAAAAAATATTGAAAAAGGGTTTGTAACATTGAATGATTCGCAGTGTTAAAAAAATCAAAAATCCCCCAAATAAGGGTACACTGTGACAAAAAAGTGTACCCTGCTAGACACGAATGGTGAGCCCTCTAGTACAAAGGTAGAATGGAGGCTTCACTCATGCACAGGCTCTAGAAAATGCAGCAGAGATCCATGTATGGATACAGCAACCGTTTCCTGGCATTGTTTGTTGCTATGCATAGCCAGCTGCTTTAAAGGTCTTCCTTTTAGGCCCAGTGGTGCATTTCCTAAGTGATTAATAAGAAGAAAAAAATACTGGCAGTTTACAAGCCAAACCTTCTCACTAACTTATTAATGTGAATTATATCTGACATTGGTAGTGTAATCATTCAATCGCATGATTGTTGTATAACCAGGAGAGAGCTGTTAATTCCAGCCCGCTATCCGGAGTAAGAGCCTCTGTTAATCAGATTTCTCGCTACCTGTCTGCAGTAGTCAGTAAGCAACTTAAAAATTCCAATCTGAGCCTTTGCTAACCCAGACTGACTAAACAGTTGGTTCTTCCTTAAGCAACAGCTGTGACACGAATTCTCAAACTGTACATGGTTGCTTATTCATGTCATATCTTTGTGTGGTTCCCAGTGGTAAGTGTTAGAGAATGGTAGTAAAAAAGTGCCGTATTTTCAGCATTAAATGTCATCTTTGATTACAATATCAGGAAAGATTAAGACGATAAAAACTATTTTGTACAAACGTCTTGATGCATTCTCAATCATCCAGGAAAGTAAAACCCCAAAAGTTAATTCTGTTCATCTGGACGTAGCGTTTTGTGGGAGAAACGTTTCGTCACTCATCCAAGTGACTTCTTCAGTCACAGCTGACTGCAGGTTTCCCCAAATCTTATAAACAGTACATTTGCATTGATACAATGCTGTGATTGCAGCCATTCCCCAACTCTCTGTGAATGGGACTCATGGCCATTGATCAGTGGGTTTTGGTCGGTGGTTGTTGATCAATGGTCATGAGAATTTGCGTAATTATGATTAAGGAACTGACCTCCCAGCCCATTGTTCCTTCAGTGGGCTGGTTTCAGTCATTATCAGCTGAGACTGAAGAAGTCACTTGGATGAGTGACGAAACGTTTCTCCCACAAAACGCTACGTCCAGATGAACAGAATCAACTTTTGGAGTATTTTGTATAAAAACTAAACCTGAGGCATAGTTGAACAATCATTTCAAAGTCAAAGCCTTCTTTTTTAAAAACTTGTAGATATGTATATTAATATTTTCTTCATTTCTTTTTTTTTCTCTGGAAAATGTATCCATTTTTCCCCCTGACTACTGCCACAACTTTAGGGCCTTTTTGCACATCCTCTTCCTCATTTCCGCTTCTTACATTTCTTGATCTTTTCATGTCATCACACTCTGATATTATGCCAGCCATGTATAGATTTACCGTGTATGTCCTAGATTTTGGTCTACATTTACTGACATAGAAAATTAGGAGTTTCCCTTTGATCACAACATCCAGATGCGTTTGTCAGTCCACATGCAAGGCATTCGATTGGTTTATTCTTTTTGTTTCAAAATATTTTCATTGAATACATCAGAAAATAAGATTTAATGTGAAAGGTAACTCGAGGGCATTTCAAAGAGGAATCAGCCCTGTGTGCTGTGCAGTTCACTGGTAAAGGTGTCTTGTTTTCTTTCTGTACAAAGGCCAGTTGCAAGTGAAGAGTAAACATGACTGATGTTTGGTTTTAGGTGACTGTTTGACATCAATGACCTGGATCCATCATGTTTTTTGTTTCGATTTAATTTCCTCAGAGTTCTTAGTGTGCTTTTTTGACTATGTCGTTACCCTAATCGCTGTATGTTGGGACTGATTATACCTTGAAAGCAATAAAAAGATTAGAAAAATCTATAAAAAAGGAAAAGACATGATAGACTAAAATTCAACGCTGGATTTAAAGTGTACAGTATGAATCAATACAGTCAATATTTCTCATTTCTCCAAAACTTTAGTTCATCTGAGGGGTTGGTGAGTTATGTCGAACTTAAAGTCAGAGCTTTCTGCGTCACAAAAGTAGCTTTCAAACCTCTGCTCACCACATAACATGGTAGGGAGCAGGTTACATTCAGTTTCGATTTAAAGGCTTGGGGGATTTTTGTGTTTCTCTTATTTACAGTATGTAAGTGCACAAACTGTGCAACTTTCAATCAATACAGTTAATTTCACTTTGATCTGCTGACAGACTAAAGTGACTTTGTTAGGCTGTGGAAGAATAACAGCAATGTTATATTGTATGCAGTTTAAAGTCCTCACGTATGCACTCAGCATTGCAATAATTAACTCAAATTAAACGTTTTTCTTACTGCTCTGTGCACACAGACCGCTACAGCTGTGTTGAAAAACACAAGAAAAAAAAATTAAAAACAAAAGCAAATTAAAATCTTACTATTTCCATTTTATCTGAAGACAGAGGCACAAGAAACCCTCCAGAAATGTGTCAGATTTGATTCATTTTTGTCATTGTTGTTCAGAGAGATTCACTTGTGGTGTTTTGTTCTTCCAGGGGTCGCTTATGGTAGTCAGAGCAGCGAGGGTGTGAGCTCACTCTCCAGCTCCCCCTCCAACAGCCTTGAGACTCAGTCCCAGAGTTTGTCCCGATCGCAGAGCATGGATATCGACCCTGCCTCCTGTGAAAAGAGGTGAGAGCGTCTCCTGTGTCCGATTGCCCTACCCAGCTTCTGTGTTCATTCTCAAATACTCCTTATCTGTGGAATTAGATAAATATTGACACTGTGTACGATTGAGCTTGGAGTAATAGCATAGTTTGCTTGGAGATAATGGCTTATTAAGAACTGTGGTTTCTCTTTTATTCCAGCATGTCCCAGGTGGATGTGGACTCAGGGATAGAGAACATGGAGGTGGAGGACAGTGACCGCAGGGAGAAGAGAAACTTGACTGAGAAGGTAAGCAGTTAGAGTGAACATTAATCAAAAGATGTTGCCTCCTGGACTTTGACCATATCTATCAGGATATCAAGAAAGTTCTAACCGAATAAACATTAAAGGAGTGTCTGGTTGTTTGCAGATGGGTGACTTTCCACAAACGCTATTCTTGGTTTCATTTTTGTTTATATCAACTCATTCACACGTACCTCTGTTGTTTCTTGCTCAACCAGAGAGATCATGAGATAACGAGTATCCTGAGACTCAGTAATGCTTGTTCATTATGCGTGTTTGTTTTTTTTAAAATCAAGGCTTCACTATTTTTTTTCTGCATCTTAGGAAACTTCTGCAAACTCAGATGTCTCTGAAGAACAGGCCCTGCAGCTCATTTGCAAGATTCTCCGCGTATCGTGGAAGGAGCAGGATAGAGATGTCATCTTTCTCCCTTCACTGGCTGCAGAGTTTCACCAGAACCCTAAAGAAGGTAACGCCACTAAACTTTGACCATAAAAAGCTGCACACGTGGGAGGCTCGTCCGACTGTTGTTATGTTTTCTCCGGCAGTATACTCTGACTTCAAAGACCTCATCAGCCAGATCCTGATGGAAGTCTTAATGATGTCCACCCAGTCACGTGTCCACAACCCCTTCGCCAGCTTGACAGCCACCTCACAGCCAATTGCAGCAGCCAAATCCCCCGACCATCGTCTGACACTGGTGCAGCCCTCCAGCCAAGGTGGAAGCCCAATGGGCCCTAGCGCTGGATCCTTTGGAGCCAGCTCTCTGTCCAGGCAAGTGCCACGAGTCATTATTAAGCTCGCGGAGACATATCAAGGCTGTTGATTGGGCTGTTTTTTCTATTTACTTTATTATCATGCTGCCATGTTCTTCCCAGTCTTTTTCATCATGCTTTAATCATTTCTGTTTTTAAGGCTTTAAGATCATTCTTGTCTTAACAATGTTATCCACAGTCTGTATGGCTGTGGTAGTCCTCACCCAGTGGCTTTGGATGCAGCCAAGAGGACCTCCCCCTCTCTCCTCACCCCTACTACACCGTCTACCCCACAGTTCGTTGTTCCCCCCAGCCCACCTGCTTCCACTCCTCCACGGCACTCCCTCAGTGCTCCATCTGCCCCCGTGCCCATTTCCCAAAGGTATCGCCCTTACTCGGTCACCACTCCCTGGGTGGCTCCTTCCCCAACAAGCCCGAGTCACAGAGGGTTTAGTTTCCCTGGACCCTCTCCCAGCCCTGCAGGACCCTCCGTTCCCCCCAACACTCCAGTTTCTGTGCCACCACCTTCCCCCCAGTCTTTATCCTTGAGCTCACCTATGGGTCACAACCAACCCTCCTCTGCAACCTCTCCTATGGTGCCTCCTTCTCCCAGACTGAACACTCGACAGGCTGCCTTTGCTGCCAGGATGCCTCCATCTAGGTATCTAAACTGTCACCTGCATGTCAGAGTGGAGTGCAAACGCAAGCCAACATGCTAAAGCCTGAACCTTTGGTGATGTTTCTGTTCATCACTGGTTATATCTGCTCCTACATTAACTTTCCTGCATTTAGACGTTACTAGCACTTTAACATTTCTGTGGTTAAAATCTTGTGAGAAAATGAGATTTAAAAAATGCTACCTCTACCACAAAGTAACTATTTAAATTTAGGCAATTAAAAAAATTAATACATACATTTAATATTAACAGCTGTAGCTCTTTGTATAAGGTCATCATGACACAGAGCTAGCATGAGTGTGCTAAAGCGATAGAAAACTGGTTTAAAAAGAGAGAAAGTAGTCTCCATGAAAGCATGCATCTTCCCTGTGCTCCCTTTCTCATTTCCTTTTTTTGTTTGTTACTGTTCCACATTTGTCTTGATGCTTTTTCCTCCCCCCCGTTGGCTTTCTGCCTCCTCACGCTTGTGCATCATCCTCCTTTCTTCCAGTCTTTCTCTCATTTCACCTGTTTTTCTCTCGTCCTGTCAGCCCCTTTTCGTTCCTGTTTTTTGCCCTCTCTGACATATCTCAGGACAGCGATGATGAAGATTCTCAGGAGGAGCAGGAGGAGGATATTTCACAGGTTCAATTTGGGTCCAGGTACACCACTGCGTGGTGTGTGTTAATGCGCGTGTGTGTGCACGCTTGCTCAGGGATGGGCTCTGATGCATGTTCCAGCGGGTCCGGTAGGCTTGCCACTAACCGTGCACAAAGACGCCAGGCGAGATTAAAGAAGATTAAACCATGTTTAGGAGTGTTTTGGTCATCGACATTCAGAGATAAATTCCCATAACTATAAATTTTAGTACATGCAATATGGAGGTAAGTAATAACCACATTAACTCTTCTGCAAACGGCTTCAAGATGTAGAAAATCTTCAGTGCTATGAATGACTCATTAATGACTCTGCGTTTCTGTCTGTATAAGAATCCATTTTTACGTTCACATCTTCCTTTTTAAGAAGGAGAAATCACCCTTAGCTCAAAGACATGTGAGCCACTGTTTCATCATTATGTAACCCGATCAGACAACATTAGATATTTATGTATATGCGTTTTTGATTGCAAACATTGGAAGTAACACCATGAATCCCTGACTGCAGAACTTCAAGCTCTCTGGCACTGCCCTGCCTTTGATTCATAAATGGAGTATTATATCTCTAAGAAAATATTGTTGCTTACTATTTAAAACCATCATTTAGCCAGTATATGTGTATATATGTATGTGCGCAGAAATACAGAATATATTGCTCACATTAGTAAATGAAATCTACTTTGTTGATATCTTTTTTATGCTGTGGCTCACAGAAATTTGGAACAGGTTTGACCTTTGCAGCTTTAATTTGTTTCTGTTGTCTAAATCATCTTGACATTATTTTAGACTAATATGGAAATTGATTGACAGCAAGGCTTATTGTGCCGTATATACAGCTGAGAAACCCATAGAAAATCATTTTGATTCTTCTTGTTCAAATGTTTTCGCTCACACTTTGAGTCTGTCTTCATTGTAGCCTCATTTGTGTTCATTGTAGCTTATAGGATCCATATCTTCAGTAGCAAAGTTGCCTAAAAATCAAACCGTATGTGTGTTTGTTTGTTTGTTTTATTTGAGGACCATAAGTACAAACCTTAAAAAGTGTTGATGAAATAAAGTAATTTAATTGGGTACCGACATTAACATTCTCTTGCAAGGAGCTGAGAAACTGTTCCTCACAGTAGCAGAAACGGTTCATCTAATTCACATTTGAGTTCAGTTTGCTTCTTATCTTATTGAAGAAAGAAAAAAAAATCTGTAGAGCTCGACCCATATAGGACTTTTTAAGACTCATACTGGTATTTGGTGATTTAGAAACAAAATTATATCGGCCGTTTGTCTTTCTTTTGTTTCGTTTTTTTTTTGTTTGTTTTCAGGCATACAAAACATAAGCAGATTCCCTTTTTCTTACATGTAATTTGTGTGCTCTTACTGAGTTGACATGACAATACAGTTTAACACTAATCTTATTTTACCATCTGCTCTGATCACCCGGTGGTTGAATTTTGCAATGCTACCTTTAAAGTGCTTTAGTTTGTCGTCTTTCGGGACTTTTCAGGAAAGTTTGATTCTAATGCTACGTCTGTCCACACTGTGACATTTCCTGTTATTTGATGAGCCTCTCTGTCTGTGTCTAATTTTTTTTGTAGTCTTGGGGCATGTGGAGGGGGGATGTCCTGCGAATCAGCCAGCGACCGCTTCACCATTGAAACATGCAAAGAGACAGAGATGCTGAACTACCTCATTGAGCGTTTTGACAGCGTTGGCATGGAGGAGAGGAAAGCTCCCAAGGTAGATGACAATCTGTGAGACCAATAAATATCCCGACCAGGATTTATAGCAGATGATTTATTTTTCTTTCCTAAAATATTTAAGATTTGAGATCAAAATCCTAATAAGAGCTGATATATAAAGGTCTTTAATATGTTCTTCATGTTTCAATTGTTTTAAAATGCGCTGAGTATAGAAGAACAGGTTGTGCTTTGTAGACTAGCTGCAGGCATTAGGCATAGCTCGTCACATAACACTTTTTTTTTTTTTAATCACACTGCAGTCGTTCTCACTCTTCTCTCTGTGTTTCTTTCTCAGATGTGTAGCCAACCAAATGTCAGCCAGCTTCTCAGTAACATTCGCTCTCAGTGTATTTCCCATGTTGCCCTGGTCCTTCAAGGCGCTCTGACCCAGCCTCGGTAAGAAGCCATCCATTAACTCATACGATCTCTGGGTTTTTACTTCTTTTTTTTGTTTTTTTTGTTTTTAATGCTCTCACCATATTTGTGCATCTTCCATTCCTTTTCCCTCTCTGTATCCATAGCAACTAGTCATTCACCTTGTCTCCAAATGTGTGATTTATTTATTTATTTATTTGCCGTGTGTTTACTACTTTTAGGAGCCCTCTCCAACAGTCTCTGCTGGTACCTTACATGCTGTGTCGGAACCTTCCATATGGCTTTATTCAGGAGCTGGTGCGCATTACTCACCAGGAGGATGAAGTATTCAGACAGGTGACGAGCACATCCATCCATTCTTTTGGATCTGTTTATGCTTACTCAAAGCTGTGGGTTTTTTCCAAAAGAATTCTTTGCTTCCTGTGCACTATGGCTCATACTGTTTGGTACAGACCGGCTCTTTACACACACCCATAAATAATCTAGTTAACTGTAATTAATGGGGATGAATCAGTTTAAAAAGGTGGAACTATATTTTTTCATAACAGCTGGAGATGATCTCATACAGCCATATACAGTTTGTACTGGGTGATTCAACTAAGCAAACCCCAAATATCCATTTTTAATTGTCAGGTTCAGCACAGATAGAACTGGAAAGTCTGCACGATGAAGCTTTACCAGCCCAGCATGACTAAACAGACTGTACTGGGTTGAATCTTTCACGCTGTGTTTCTCTGGGTTGATTCTGCAAAGCCAGAAATGATAATTCGTTACAAAAACATCCTTGCCCTTTTTTCCCCCCAACCTATTTCTCCTGTAGATGGAGCACCTAAATTTAAACAGCTAGAAGGTGACGCCTTGACGCCTTTATTCCCCCATATTTTGTCATCTGCTTGTCCAGATGCATGAATATAAAAATGTAAAAACAGAGTGATCCCATGTTTAGGGCAGCTAGTTAAACACCCTCACGGTGATGTGTAAATACAGACCGTGTGAACGTTTCTCCAAGGTCAAAATGCACTGAAGCACTGAAGCATGCTGTTTAATGTGTTGTTGTTGTTTTTATTTAGATTTTCATCCCCATCCTCCACGGCCTGGCTCTTGCAGTCAAAGAATGTTCCTTTGACAGTGACAACTTTAAATTTCCCCTCATGGTAAGGAGACATTATCCTGGTCTTTCCTGCAGCTGCCGTATTTCTGTAGGGAATATATCATACAGCATGGGATGAAGCACGCATCCACACAACTCATTTTTAGCACAGTTCACGTGTTGGGTTGTAATCCTTTTCTGACCTGATGTCTGTTTTCGATTTTACAGGCATTAGCTGAGCTTTGTGAAATTAAGTTCGGAAAGACTCACCCGGTGTGCAATTTGGTAAGTATACAAATGGAAAGGTAAAGCTACATCGTAACACCTGAGTGTTGTTCACTGGGTCCTTATGGCTCCAATTATTATGGACATCTATTGTGAAAGCAGTTTGGTTACCCTGAGCTTATTAATAAATGTAGCTGTTGTAAATGTACTTTCCTCATACCAGGAAGGTATGAACTCTGCCTGTTGTGAGAATTTTCCTGTTACATGGAAAAAGGGCAAGAGGAAATTCCCGGGTGGAGGGGTGGGGTCTCTTAGCTCTCTTAGTGTTTGTTATCTGTCCAATAATATTCTTTACTTAGTGTTTAAGTTTTTAAAATACTGTGAAATTAATTGATGCATAATTAGCCATTTAGCTTCACTTAGGGAAAATGAGTTATGAGTTACAGTTACTGTTGATTAGTATATAATATATAAATGTATAAATCAGTGTTATAACCACACTTGACAATAACATGTATTAAATCAATGACTGTGTAATGTGCGCAGGTAACATCACTGCCTTTGTGGTGTCCCAAACCTCTGAGCCCTGGATGTGGCAGAGAGATTCAGAGACTGTCCTACCTGGGAGCCTTTTTCGGCCTCTCTGTGTTCGCTGAGGATGATGTGAGTTGTTCTCTACGATGAGTTGTACTTTGTCTGAATCTCAAATAAATCAGGAGTGTCAAACGTAAGGCCCGGGGGCCAGAATCAGCCCAACTCCAATCGGTCCGAGTGAATGGCTTAGGAAAAGGTGAAGGAGGGCATAAATTGTGGACTTCTAACTGTCTTATCAGAAGTTTCTCTACTTCTCCTACTGATGAGGACTTCCCCTGTGACCCTTCTTATTACACCATATTATTATTATTATTATCTAATTAAGTAAAGGATAAACTATGGGAAGTAACGCAAACCTCATATTAAAAAAAAACAGAACAAAACTGAAAAGTGCCAACCATTTCGATGACAAAAGGCTTTGTTTTTTTGCCTTTTTTTTTCTTTCTTTCTTTCTGTTTTTTTTAGACAAAAGTTGGAGACAAATACTTCTCCGGCCCGGCCATCACCATGGAGAACACACGAGTCGTCAGCCAGTCACTGCAGCACTACCTGGAGTCTGCAAGGGTAAAGTCTCTATTTCATGTTTTTATTTTTTATTTTTAATAGTTGTTTTTTCCAGCAGTGTGGAATGATGTTGTTTATTGATTTATTTTTTTAAAATCAGGGTGACATGTTCAAAGTTCTCCACAACATCCTGCTAAACAGTGAAACGCGGGAGTTGGCTCTTAATTACATGGCAGCTCTAGTCAACTACAATGTGAAGAAAGCCCAGATGCAGGTAAAGTTGTATGTTTTACAAATTGATGTTTTTCATATTACTAGATTCAGACCATAAGGAACAAACCTGATTAAAAGTATATTAATTTTAGAAGTCATTCTTGATATTATTTAATCTTCGGGGGCAGGCGTTTACTGTGTGTTTATAAAGATTTTAATAAAAAAACAAACAAACCCCACATTCTCCTCTCTTCCAGACTGATGACAAGCTGGTTTCGACAGACGGTTTCATGCTCAACTTCTTATGGGTGCTGCAACAGCTGAGCATGAAGATCAAGTTAGAGACAGTGGATCCCTACTATATTTTCCATCCACGGTGTCGCCTTGTCGTCAGTCTTGAGGAAACGCGTCTCAAAGCCACCATGGACGAGCTCAAGGCCTGGCTGTCTGAACTACGTAAGCTGGCATAACCAGAAATGCTCACATACATATGATCATTTCAGTAAATCTAAGTGGACCACATAGGTTTTAAAGAGGGCGGTCGTTAAAGATAAATATCACTTGCATGTGAACTCGTAATTCTGCAGTTCTCATGAACTAATCCTAAGCATATCAGAGCCGCGGTTTTGTTTTGGGGTATTTTTAACTAATCTAATTGGTTAAAAGAGTCACTTGTAGAGACTAAAGCTGATATTTGTGTCCTTATAACCATAAATTTCATCTGTGAATATCTACAGATAAAGACCCCGCCAAGTTCACGGAACCCAAATTTCCTACCGAGTGTTTCTTTTTGACGCTTCACACCCACCACTTATCCATCCTGCCTGGCTGCCGGCGCTACATCCGGAGATTACGAGCCATCCGCGAACTCAACAGGTACACGCTCGCACATCTACACAGACAATCATATCGCGTTAAGTGTATGCGTGTGTATTAATACTGCTATTTTTATCTTTTAGGACTGTAGAGGAGCTCAAAAACAGTGAGAGCCAGTGGAAAGATTCTCCCCTGGCGAGTCGACACAGAGAGATGCTCAAACGCTGCAAAACTCAGCTTAAGGTCAGTGTTACGTACTTGTAGATGGAGCCACTGTCTTAATTAATTTAATGATCAAACATCAAGGACCAATTTAAATGTAGAGATGTGAAAATGCTCTCAGCATTTCTTGGTTGGGTATATTTGGAAGACACGCGTGGCTGATTTTGGCACGGAGCATGTTTACAGACGAGTGATTGTTACTGTGTGTGACAGAAACTGGTGCGAGCCAAAGCTTGTGCTGATGTGGGCCTTCTGGATGAGAACCTGCTCCGCAGATGTCTGCAGTTTTACAGCACAGTCATCCAGCTCATTCTTCGCATGGTGGACCCCACCTACCCCAAGTTAGTCACCTCTCCTCTGACGCACCATGTTGCCATTTGTTTTGATATCGATGTCAGAGGAACAGCTGTGGCATCACACAGTTTGTCTGTTTTTTTCCCAAGAATTTTAATTTTTTTGCTTCACTTCAGTTTATTATTAAATCAAGAAGTAATATGTTTGTTTTTCCCTCCCTTGCGCAGCATTAACCTGCCTCTGAACCCCGAGATTCCCAAAAGCTTTGCCGCTCTGCCCGAGTTTTACATTGAAGATGTGGCAGAGTTTCTGCTTTTTGTTGTGCAGTAAGTCCTCTGCTCTCTGCTCATCTATCACGTTTTAATGACTGTCCTGTGCAGGGCAGTAATAAAATGTTAACAGGAAGGAACGATGAGGGGGAAAATACAGATATTAAATGCTTAACAGGTCTATAAATGTGTATATACATGTATAAATCCATAATTCCCAGTGAACTTTGTGAGGAAAAATTAAATCCAAATAAGGGATTTGTGAACTGCTATCTCCTCTTTTCTCCCAGGTACTCACCCCAGGTTTTATATGAGCCATGTGTCCAGGACATTGTCACCTTCTTGGTGGTGTTCATCTGCAGTCAGAACTACATCAGGAACCCCTACCTTATCGCCAAGTTGGTGGAGGTGCTGTTCGTCACCAACCCCGCTGTTCAGCCTCGTACTCAGCGATTCTCTGAAATGATGGAGAACCACCCGTTGTCCGTCAAACACCTGGTCCCTGCTCTCATGAAGTTTTACACTGGTGAGCTTTATGTTGTGCTGCAGCTCTCTGCTGATGTTGTGCTCGGTAGAATAAAAATCCAACTGGCACGTGTTTATTCTTTACTACAAGTTGTGATCTTTTCAAGCAAAAAGTTCACTAAAATCTTTCCCTCCTCTGGTCAGATGTTGAGCATACCGGTGCTACCAGTGAGTTTTACGATAAGTTCACTATACGGTACCATATCAGCACGATCTTCAAGAGCCTCTGGCAAAACATTGCCCACCATGGAACCTTCATGGAGGAGTTCAAGTGAGTTTGCTATTGACAAAAACAGCAGTTGCAATGTTTAATTTAATTTTTTTTCTCCTTATTTTAAAGAAATTGTGGTTTAGAGTGTGTGGCTGTATGACTTTTCCAGCCTCACATCCTCTTCTGTCTCCTTTTGTCCTTCTTTCACACCAGCTCTGGCAAGCAGTTTGTGCGCTACATCAACATGCTGATTAATGACACCACCTTCTTGTTAGATGAGAGCCTTGAATCCCTGAAGCGCATTCATGAAGTTCAAGAGGAGATGAAGAATAAAGAGCAGTGGGAGCAGCTGCCAAGGGTCAGTGCTCAGTTTTTTTAGGACCCTATATTTGTTTATCAGTTTTTAACAGAGTCTAGCAAAGACAAAAATGTCAGAGGTCATGTTTTATCAGATTATCGCTTCATTCACAGTTGTGCTGAGCTGTGAAGACAGGCAGAAGGTTACTGCCATTGTGTAGGGTAACTTATTTATTATTTTGTCTTTTTTTTGTTGTTGTTGTTTTTTGGGGGGGTTGTACAAATTTTCAGGAGCAGCAGCAGAGTCGTCAGTCCCAGCTGACTCAGGATGAGCGGGTGTCCCGCTCCTATCTGGCCCTGGCTACCGAAACAGTTGAAATGTTCCACATCCTCACCAAGCAGGTCCAGAAGCCTTTCCTAAGGCCTGTGAGTGTCACTGTTACCAATGAACACGTGATGTATTCTAGAGATTTATTCTCAGTTATACAAGTAATATAAAGGAAGCATTATTTGCCATTTTCCTCCAGGCATAGCATAGAATAGGTACGTTGTCATTCAAACATACACCAGTTAGTGCACGTTAGAACAAAATGTCGGTCCATTGACTCGACATTGGACTAATGTATGCATCCATCCACCCATCCATGCATCCATCCATCTTCCCTTTTCCACAGCAATAAAACAGCAAAAAACAATGTATATCATTATTCCAGACATAATGCACTGCCATGAATATACAGTAATGTGAAACAGTCCAGGGACAGTTTCAGAATGTACCTTGTTTATGTATAAGAGGGGTGTGGGGGTTATGGAGAGTTCAACAGTCCGTCTTGGGCAATGAAACTATTGGAGAATCTATAGATGTGCTTTTCTAAACAGTGGCTCCTTCTTCACACAGGAGCTGGGGCCTCGTTTAGCTGCCATGCTGAACTTTAACCTCCAGCAGCTGTGCGGGCCCAAATGTCGGGACCTGAAGGTGGAAAACCCAGAGAAGTATGGCTTTGAGCCCAAGAAACTCCTAGACCAGCTGACAGACATCTACCTGCAGCTAGACTGTGCTCGCTTTGCTAAAGCTATAGCAGATGACCAGGTTGGCACTGACGGGAGAGGGGGGGAAATTTGATGTCCGGTCTACATTTAGTTATCCTGAATCATCTGTCGTGACTTTATTGCCAGTTAGCATGAATTCTCTACTTCACGTGGAGAATATAGTGTGTGTATATATATATATAATTCCTGATTTGTTGAGAGAACAAAGAGAACATTCTGAATGATGAAGCCACATTATTACACATTATTGTTGTCAGAGATTTACATCAGAACATATATGTATGAAATGCAGCAGTTGCTTGTTGTGTGCATTATCAAAATCTGTGTAAGTTTGAAGACATGACTTAAATTTCAAATCTGTGATGTGATGACAGTAAGGTACTGAAGACTGACCTCAGGGACTTGTTGCTCTTTGCAGAGGTCATACAGCCGTGAACTCTTTGAGGAGGTGATCTCAAAGATGAGGAAGGCTGGCATTAAGTCCTCAATTGCTATTGAGAAATTCAAGCTGCTATCGGAGAAGGTGGAGGAAATAGTCGCCAAGAACTCCCAGTCTGAAATGGACTACAGCGATGCACCGGATGAGTTCAAAGGTGTGTGAAAGACTGTGTTTAAACAGCACAACTAGAACTTTTGAATCTGGTTATGCAGCAATGGTAAAGCGAATCATCTTTCCCACAGCTGGTTTAATAACATCTCACTCTGACATGTGCTGTATCGTTAAATTAATCTATCTAGATCACTTCAGAGTAATGTATTGAGATCCTCAAATAACATCCATATAAAAATAATGGGTCACATTGCGCTGCTTCTGAAAGCATCATATTAAATATCTTTCTAGGTCTTCAAATGCAGTTTTTAAATAATATTGTCATTGTGTAAAAGACTGACCTGTGACCTCGGGTCAGTCAATGACAGACGGGATCTTTAACGGCCTCTTCTGCTATTGAATTCCAGACATGTGTGGTGGATTTTGAAGCTCACACTGGTCATCTAGACAGCTTAGTGCAAGGCTATCGAGTAACCACAGACTTAATATAATCTAGAAAGAGTATGTGGTCTGCGTGCCTCCTTTGATTGTCAGATATGCCAGCTAGCCCACCACAGTTGATGGGAGTGTGCCATACAGGAGACTTGAGTATCAGCTGTCTGTGTAGATGAAATCTCCCATGACAGGTTTTATTTTTGTAGCACCGGAGTCCTACTGTAACAACCTTGTGACATTTCAACACAGAGCCCCACGCCACCAAACGCTCTGTATCGGACTTCATGGGAAATTTTGTTTACTAGTGTTTTGATAGGTGCATCAATATTGTGGTCATATAAAACATTTTTTGGACATGTGACAGGCTCCTACACAAACCAACATGGGCACACATGTATGTCACTTGCTGATTACATTTATTTATTTATTGTTTTTACGCTTAACCAAATAAGTTTAATTTTAATATTTTTGCTTTTAATGTTGTAATACTGGTCCCTCTCCTTGTCCAATCAGGGCGCCAGTGCTGCTGGTGATGAATCAGATTTTTAGTGTAGCATCTCGCTTGTAATTTTCTGTAAAATCTGTTTGTGGCTGTGTTACAACAGACCCTCTGATGGACACGCTGATGACCGACCCTGTGATGCTGCCTTCGGGGAACATCATGGACAGATCCATCATCTTACGCCACCTGCTCAACTCCCCCACTGATCCCTTCAACAGGCAGCCACTCACAGAGAACATGCTGGAGTCAGGTAACCCCACCATTTATCCTTTTACTTTATTTATTTTAAACAGATAATGTAAATAAGTGTTGCTGTTTAAGGTACGCAAGATAATGCACTTATAGCTGGAGGCGAGGCTAATAATTTCAGGATGACTAAATGTCACAATGTTAATTCCACAGTGCCTGAACTGAAGGAGAGGATCCACACCTGGATGAGGGAGAAACAGGGTGGACGGGGTGTCTAAGGACTACGCCACTGATGTCTGGCTAATCATCATTAAGGGATCGGTCCAAATCACCTGAATTCAGCATCACTACTACCAATGAGAACAAAAAAACAAACATTTTGAATGGAGAGGAAAAAAAGGAGACTTGATTTGATAATTTTTTTTCTTTTATTTCTTTTTTTTTTTCTTTTTTTTTTTGCATTTACCCTTTTTGTCTCAAACCATTATCATGGTTCTAAAACAAAACATAATAAAGCTAAGACTTTTAAGTTTTTCTCATGAGTTTGTGTATATATATATATACATATATATATAAAAAATATATATATCAAAGTATATACATTAATTTAACAATAGTGCATTATAACGCTGCAGAAACCATTACCAACAGGTTTACCTGCGAGGTGCATACAGTCTCTTCATTGATCACCTTCCTTTATGGTTCTCATTTTGTTTGGTATTACGGAGTCTAGTTGGGTTCTGATAAAACTGTTAGCCTCAAGTTTTCTTTATCAAGACTTGTGACGGTAATGAGTTAGAGTCCACGTAATGTTTAATGGTGTCCCAGAGATAACTTATGCACAGTTTGTGCTTGTAGAAGAGGTTCAGGATTGGGAATACCCTAAACTAATCCTCAGTGTCAGCTTTTGTTTTGAGTAAAGTAGGAAGATGAGCTGTGGCTCACAATGATAAAGTGTGCCCAAATTTTCCTTCTCGGTCACGTTTTCCCCGCTGACTTTGATAGATTGAATTTACGTGTGTGTGTGTGTGTGTGTGTGTGTGTGTGTGTGTGTGTGTGTGTGTGTGTGTGTGTGCACGGCCTTAAGTCAAGAACCTCCTGAGCGCCACGTGGACATGTAATCCCCATTTTAGGTCTAGTGGAAGGACCGTGAGAATGTAGCATGATCACCTGAAGCACCATCCTAGGAGCACACCATTAAGTCATCTCACCTTAAAATGGTCTCTTTCAAATAGCACTGTACCTAACTTGACCTTGCTGACCTTAACTGTACAGGAAATTATTTCCTTTAACCACATACCTGTTTTGGAAGCTAGGATTTTGAACTCGAATAAATGATGATGCACATTATTTCACAACTGGTCACCATTTTTTTTCCCCCTTCAGACTGATGTCTTAGTGGCTTTGTTTAGTATCTTTTTTTTAATTTTTATTTAAGTTTAGTGTAAGTAAAGAAAACAAAGACGCCCATGACAAGATACAAAATAACAGATCAGTTGCATTTTATTTATACAGTGCCAAATTAAAACTGTTGCCTCAAGAAGCTTTTATATTATAAGGTGAAGACCAGGAGGAGGCAGGACAAAAGACACATTGGAACAGAGAGACAAAACAACTATATAAATAGCAAAAAAAAAAAAAAGCTGGATGTGGCAAATATAATGCAAACCTGTTTTCATTTTGTGTCAGCAAAGGTAACTTCCAGTTCTAGGGAACATAAAAGTTGCAATCTTTTTTTGGAATGTGAATAGGTTAGTCATTGTTCTCAATTAAACTTGGCAACAGTCCAGTATTTACTGGCAAGGACACCTGTTAAACTTTTAACTCCAAGTTCATTCCAAAAAGAAACCGCAAGTGCAAAAATATCACAGGAAAGTAAATTGCTTTCAATCAAACCTGCCTCTTAATGGTTCTGCCAGAGGTTCCCTCCTGTTAAAAGGAAGTTTTTCCTTCCCCTTGTCTCCATGTGCTTGCTCGAAGGGGGTTGTCTGATTGTTGAGGTTCATTCTGTATTATTGTATGGTCTTTACAATAAAAAAGCGCCTTGAGGCAACTGCCATAGTCATTTGGTGCTAAATGAGTAAAATTTAATTGAACTGCAGGAAATGTATTTGCTCATTTTATTTTGTTTTATGGTCATTGACATCTCTTGTGCCTGCTTTAAGGCAATATTATAATTATAAAATTATATTAGCAAAAATATAAATAATTTGGTTTATAAATTCGTGATGCACGGAAAAGTTACATCGCTAGGCGGCGATCTTTGCGGTAACCCACGGTGCTGCGGGTAGCAGTAATGAGAAATCCTGCAGTGTTGTGGCGTCACGGGCGAAAAAAAGGGAGCGACACCCCACCTATTCCCTCCCCCTTCGCGACCCCGAGTCACGCCATAGGCTCTTCGCCGCATTAGTCGCCGCTCTCTGTTTGCTCATTGGCCCGCCAGCCTGTCCGTGAGCGCGCTGATAGGGAGTTGACGTAATCTCTTCGGTAAATCGAGACAATCTACCAATTCTTCTTCTCGCTAGTGTGCAGATAGGCGTCCGCCGTTCATCTGTAAGGAAGACTAAAGTAGTCAACGAAGTGGCCGTTTCCAAATACAAATCCTTCCACCGGAGGATACCGCTATAATGGGTCTTTTTCACGGAAATGGACTTTATAGCAGTTTCCTTGCGCACAGATTCTGATAGAAACAACACATTTTGACGCCTGCTAGCTAGCGTTAGTTCTCGCCACTGTCCGGTGGTTTTGGTTTTGTCTTTTGCAAGAGTCTCCAAGCGTAAGTATATATTTTTTAAAATAATATATTTATATTTTGGGGGACTGTTGTGCACTGGGTTGTTATTACAGTTTAGTTTCAACGATGGATAGGGAGCAGTTGTCTGTGTCAACTAATACATGTCCGGTGGTCAGTGGACCTCTACGTGGCCATGGTTGCGATAACACAAAAGAATTAAACATATATATGCACTTAATTGTTACAGTATATAGAATAATTTGTTTATAGGTTTAGTTGATTATAGTTGGATAGCTGTTTCCGTTAGACTGTAGGTCGTAAATATTGAAGTCGGAGCCAATAACATTTAACGGGTTAAAGCTAGCTTAAAATAGAAAATATAATTGCTACTGTTGAAAGCTTCGCCTCTGGTAGGATTTAACGTCAAAACGCCTTTAACGCTGCCGGATAGGGTAAATGTGAACAATGTATCCAGTCTGGGCTGCTAAAATAAGCATGCAACTCCTCCCTTGCACTATTCCCCAACATGCAGCGGCGGAGGATTAGCCTACTTCCTAATATCAGCGAATGTGATTTATTTAAAAGGGGGAAATTTAAGCTCTTCGTCTACACAAAACGAACATTGTCAGATGCAACAGACAGGCCCTCGGTTAGCTGTCCCGCTGTAGCTCACGCCAAATAGGGGAGATAGGATTTCATGGGCGTATGCTTCGGCAAGTATGGCTGACTGCAAGTACATGGAAAAACATAGGATATTTAGGCTGTGTAGTCACCGGGTGCGGACTGTAAAAACGATGGAAAGTTGTGTGGTATTTTAACGCCACGTTATTTTATCCATGCAACAATCGTGATTTGTGATCTTCGTGTTTTGTTTTCGGCTAAAGCGCATTTCACGTAAACTGTGGGTTTATGATATAAATATAAAGGCTTACATCCTCTGTTTGATTTGCTAAATGTATGATCGGCTGCTGTTTACAAAATATTAAAGGCTTCATCGGGTTTGGTCGGCCATATTTGTTGTAGGCTGTTATGACTGAAAATTGGGAGGGGGTGGACTTTCATTGTGTTTGATTTACATTTAGTGAAAACAGGCTCTGCTCCTTTTCACTATAGCACTTTTGTTTTATTTTTAAAGAAGGAAGCAAACATTGTCTGGCTTCCCTGCATCACTTATTGTTTTAACTGAGGAGATGCACATTGGTTTTTCTGTTTCCTTTAGGAGGGATATACACAAGGGATCTTACAGGGAGACGGACTTAAACTGCAAACATGTCTGGGGCTTCTGTGAAAGTCGCTGTTCGAGTTCGACCCTTCAACTCGAGGGAGATCAGCAAGGAGTCAAAATGTATCATTCAGATGCAAGGCAACACTACAAGTAAGTGGCCTACTGGCATGCATGCAAGACCACCAAGACAAACTGGAGGGGGGAAAAAGCATCTTGATTTTATGCAGGTCCAGTCTGCAGGAACACTTCGGTGGACCATGCATGCTCCTGCATGTTCTTCCTTCAGGCGTCTTAGCAGAGAACAGTAGAATGAGCAAACTGAATAGTGGACGGTTGGGGACGAGCAGCCTGAAAGAGAATAAAAGGCTTACAGAGTGAAATTCCTCCTCCTCTGGAGGGGTGTGCATGCCAGAGGAGATTCTGTGTGAGAAACGCTTAGTTGGTTCACGCTGGGAGACCCAGGGGTCGTCCCACAGCGTGGCCTGCCAGCACCCCCAGTTCAGCTAGGCTTTATCACACGGCCACTGTTTTTCTTTAATGGATGTGTGTGCTGCTTTATAGTTTATGGTTGCGTTATCTCTTGAGTGTACACAAACAATTTGTGAACAGGTTGTTGGATGCATATAAAACACGATTGGCAGTTAATTATTTACAAGATTTGCATCCCTATTTGAACCACAGTGATTGAGATAGAGATCCAATGTGTATATGTGTCGTTCTGGCTGCTATTACAACCAAATTTCCACTTGTGGGACAATTAAAGGATTATTCTATTCTATTCTATTCAAAGTCTGACAGGTTAAGTAAAAATATACATATTTATAACTTTTCTCATGTTGCACTAATCTGTGATTGAGGCATAGGGAAGGATGTTAAGACCATCTAAGATTTATTATGTGATAGTGCTCTTATTTACTGTAAAGCATGCTTGTCGACAGTGTTATATGATAAGCAATAGCAGAGCAAGACGAGAAAACCTGAACGTGGTTTGCAGTCATGTGATTCAACCTGCTTACTTGTGAGTCATCCGTTACTGTGAAGCACTAGCTGCCTCCTTACTCATGACTCTGTCGTGTGTGCTTCATTCCAGCTGAGCACAAGCTCCACGACATTAGCGTGGAAGCATTTATTAACCCGCAGTAACGAGACAGCATGTGGAAACAGAAACATGCTCTACCAGCAGGCTCTCGAGTTTTGTCTGTCAGTCTTATATCACCCTCATTAGACTAAGCTTATATGAATCTTCCATAAGATCAAGTGTCCCTACCAGTTATGGCTCACTTGTCCTTTATCTCTCACACTCTACCAAAGAGAAGCTTTGTGTCAAATCCCTAGTAGTTTTACTCTATATCCTTGGGTTTTCATTATGCCAATGTCACCCGAAGGAGCTGGAGGGTGACTTGTGGTTTGTAGCAGAGCTGCAGTGGAATATGCAGCGTTTTGTAGGGGGGTTAGTGAGTGTGTGTGAGCAAGCGAGGGAGAGGAGTAGGCTGCGGTACTGCCTACTCTGCCTCCTTTCACATGGGCAGATTGCAGAGCAGAAAGGGAGGCTGGCAGGCGGCCATACTCTCCCTTCGTCAGGACTTCATTGCAGATGGTATGCTGAGAATGCGCTGTCTTATTTGGATGCCGACAGTCCGAATCTTACCTGATGGCTCAGACACGCACAGGATCATACTGAGACTTTTTTTTGTTGTTGTGGTCGTTGTATTCCCCCAGACTTTCTAAAAGCCATTGTGTATTTTTACTCTAACAAAATGAAATAGACACAGCATTGCCATTTGAACAGTATTTTAATAATCAAGATTTTTATGGTATGTTTTTAACAAGATAAATAGATAGAATTAGTCACATGAGTGTTACATTTACCAAGGAGTTTTTATTTGTCATCCTAGTGTTTTCTTTCTAAGTGATATGTTCAGCATCCATCTGTGTAAATGTCTAATTTTGCATCATTGAAAAACAAAAATCTAAACATGACTCATCCCAAGTTTACCCAAGTTGTTTGACACCCAAACAGCTTTGGGTATCAAAAACCCAACAACGTAGCCTTTCCAGAAGGCGTGGAAGGTGGCTACGAAACGGTTGGTGTCTGACGTGGTGAAACAACAGCATCTAGAGAAACTTCTAAAATCCATGCTACTGGAAATTCCCTTAAAAAAAAATCTCTGGTCAGTATGTTATGTTTTTGCCTGTGTAGGATAAGCTGTGATGTAGCACTAGCCAGTCAGTGTGTGCGCGCAGTATGGGTGTACTTCTAATGTTTTCACTGGTCTTTACTTGCATTTAAATTGGGCTGAAGGCTGCCTGACGGAAATGGGATGTTGCGTGGTCAGCTTGTATGCGTTTGGCAGATGTGTGCGTTATGCCATGACACTCCCCTTATTGTTG